CGGTCGCAGCCATCATCGCCTGTGGTCGAAACCGGGGCCGCTACTTGAAGCTTGAAGCCCCTGAGCCCCTTGACAGTAGTAGTACGCAGCGGGACGCGGAACGCGCCCCGCATGCAGAAAATCAAAGCTCAGGCGCATCAGAGCCTGAGCCGTCAAAGCACGAGGATTCAAACACGTTGAACTTGGTAGTAGACCGAAAGAGGAACAAAGAACAAGAAAACAGAGCCTTGTTTCAAGAGCAATAGAGACTGAAACATACGTTGATCATTATTCAATGAGGAGTCGTCGATCGGTCGGCCTTGTTGTTTTGTTTGCTCTAGTTTGTCCGAGTCTTGTTACAGCTTTGTTAGCAGACGAGATGACGTTCTTCGGCTGTCGGTCGTCGGTCAGCTTCGGGCAAGTCTCAGCTATTGCTTCTGTTGTTCTATGTTCAGAGATGTTGAAGGTTGAGCGTTCAATATCTACGTCGGCAACAAGAACGGCAAGAGTTGATTAACGCACGCCGAAAGCCGTAACAGAATTAGTAACTTATCTTTGTTCTGTAACCGAAGCGCTCACCTCAAAAGTAAGCAATCGTCTTGTCCACAACTTGCTGGCACAAGCCGTCGTTCTCTCTTTCAGCCAAGCGCTGGCCCGACTCGAACGCTGAGAAGAGAAGTAGTAGAAGGTGTAAGGTGTGGCCACCACTTCCAGCGTCAAGCAAATTATAGATATAGCAAAGGGAACAGAAGACTCGAGTGCCACTATTGTGATTCAAAGTTCAGTCGCGTTAGGAGGACGGGCGGGATGGAGGATCATATGTCGAGGGACCAGCCTTGTCAAAGCCCGATTCGACTCGATTCGCATCGGGAAGAAGCCAACGATCCACAATCGAGCACATACGCGGCTCGCAGGTCAAGAAGCAAGTTGGATCGGGCATTGTACTCTTGACTCTACCGCGGGAAGTCTGTATCGGGATCAGCGTCCAGCGTCCAGCACGAGCGCGTCTGTGAAGGTTGGACGACATCCACCTCCCCACAGCCTACCCACACCCACTCTCCCTGCATTATCCACTCATCTCACCCACCCACTCCTAGAATCCACCTATGAATACCGAGCAGTAGCCACCCAATCCACCTCCCGAAGCCAGTCGTAGCGCCCTGTAAAGCTCGCATGCGACCAAGCAGCCCAAGCTCAGACGCTGGCCCGTTCCATCTTTAGACAGACACTAGTACTTCGAAGATGTCGATGATTGATGACTCTCGACTCCAACGGAAAGCAGAACGGAAGGGCTCGCAGTGACGCTGAACGGAGCACAAAAGTCCAAGCGCCTAGATGACAACAGGATTGGCGCAGACAAAGTTCGACGACGAGTCTTCCCGCCTGGAAAGGAATCTAATGTCATGGGCGCCAGTCAGCTTTGGTTTGGGTTTGGACGACACGGTCGGGTTCTTAGAGGACCGAGGCGCTTCGCAGGGAGAGAAACGCCGGAGGAACAGTCGCTGGCCAATCATATCATGTTTCGCGGTGCGCTGAGGTGAGCTCGAGCTGCCATGAGAATGAATTGTGGCGAGTGGCGAGTGAGTTTGAACTTTGATTGTTGTAGATCGTAGAACTTTGATAGAGAAGGATGCCGCACGAGCGGAATGAAGAGAAAATGAAAAATGAAGCCGTAGGTAGAAGCTCTGAAAATATTTGCGTGGTACAAGCAAGGACGGTACCAAAAAAAGAACGGCAAAAATCGGGAACCGCGTCGTTCGAGTCGTCGGAAAACATGCCTATATAGAGTACGGCGAAGTATGTGCGTGCGTGTATGCCGTCGGGTTCTCTATGAAGCCTTGAAGAAACAGCGAGAAATTCTGACATAGAAGTTGGGACGAAGGGGCCTCGAATGTCATGGTCATGATGTGTAAGGGTGTGGAGCCAGGAAAATGAAGGAAGGAAGAGATGAAGGAACTTGGAATGAGGTAACGAAAGATCGCTCCGAGTCGAGGTTTGCAAGAAGGTTGAAAACTGACGATGACGATTGTCTGAAGATCGAAAAAGAACTTGAAAGACATTCCAATAATACTAGTACTGAGCAGGAGGTACTCGGAGGTGCTGACCTGACCTCCCCGTCCAGGACTTACCGGCGGCGAAAAATATATCACTCCAACTCCAGCACTCCCCAACGACCCAAGGCGTCGTCGTAAAACCATCATTAGATGGAGAGCTCTCGAACCCTTGAGGCATTACCGGCGGTATGTAGTGGTCACGAACCACATCTGAAGAAATTGCCGTGGCCAATAAGTATCGAAAGTAATGAGCCTCCACCGTCATCACTTGTCACTCCTCGAAGCCCCAACCTCGTCATTATTAGATGAAGATCTCGAGGGGTTACCGGCGGCACTTCCTGCTCACTGATCAGGAGCGCATACGCAACTGAAAGAATTGCCGTGGCGAATATCGAAAGTAGTGTCTACTGCTCAGCCCTATCGCGGATAGGGGCAAAAAAGTCAACCAGCTTCAGTGGATCCCGACGCTTCCCTTCCCTTACTCCCCAGTATACTATTAGTGCTCTCCGTCACGAAAACCGAACACTCCGCATAAAAACCACAGCGAAAATGACGATCCTTCAAAAAACGCGGAAAATTTCGGGCTCGGGCTCGGAGGCGACGGCGAGTACGGCGCCCACGGGAGCAAGGGCACATGCCATGGGTCGAAAGCCTCAGGCCTCAAACGTCGAAAGCTCAAGGCTCAAGGCTTGAAGCTTGGGGGAAGGTGAAAACACAGAGAAATAAAGATAGACATGGAGCGTGAAGCCCGAACCACAGAGATATTATTATCTCGATGAGTGAGTTGACTTGTGATTTCGGAGTGACTCGACCCGGGATATAGATATTCATACATTCCTCCATCTCTCCATCTCTCCATCCATCTCTCCATCCATCCATTCCGTTCGTCGGCCGACACAGTGTAGCGTAGCGAGATCCTAGCCTTAGAGACGAGATGAAGCGGATGACATTGGGAGTAGAGAAGAGATGTGTACGCCTGCGCGTGCATTCCGTGGCGTACATTCCGGCTAGTATGGGTTGAAACGAATCGTGAAGGGAGGAACGGAGGTGAGGAGGGAGTGAGGGCGGTGGGCTGAGCCTCCAATGACGAGTACATAGACGACCAGACGAGCAGAAGAGCAGAGCAGACGAGCACAGCGGAAAAGAGACGAGCGACCCGTTCTCCTCTGAGATCTGCGTTCCGTTGTCTAGTCGTTCCGCACACATGCACATCTAAGTACACAGGCACATAGATGGATCGATGATGACTCGAGCTCGGAGGTCAAGGTTCAAACGTTCAAGGTCCAAGGTTCAACTCTGTCTTCATGATCATTGATGACGCCTACTGCTCAGTCATAGCACACACACACACCCCACCAAAGCCATCCCACAAATCCAAAACGACGTGACTGGCTGAACGAGCAACGCTCCGTATCCCTCCGAAGCCCCTGATTGGCCACCCAGTCAAAGCGCAAGAAAAAAAACAAAGACGCGGCCGCCCGGCCAGATCTATCCCGAGATCCCGAGCCCATCCAAAACTAAAAATAAAGAGCAAAGAGCAAAGAGGGCCGGATAAGGAAGATCAGTCGCACGATTTACTGTGTTTTTGTATTGCCGATGTGCGCTAGGGCTGGGTATTGTGCTTCCGGTCGGCGAGGGGGCGCGTAAGCAGCTATGGATAGCTCGGACGGAGAGTAGGGATCCAAGCGTTCTTCAGTTAGACAAGACTTGCGATTGGAAGAGAGAGGAGTAGAGAGGAGGAGAGAGGGGACAGTCAGCGATGTCCGGATTGAGAGGAGTCTGAGTCAGTGAGGGATCTTGAGATGTTCTGAGTAAGCCATTCTCGAATGTTGATGAGGTTGCGTGCGTACGACGGAAGAAGGATGCGTAGGCTGGATACATGTCTGGCGTCAGAAATCAGAAACCAAGCGAACGAAGACGGTGGCACTGAAATGTCGAGCGGCGAAGTGCCAACAGAAGCAACTATCGCCAGGATACCCTATTAGATACGAGCGTGCGGAGTTCACCTGAGTTCCTGTGGCGCACAAAGCAAAGATACGAAATACGAAGACCAAGAGCAGAGTGATTCAGAGCACAAAGGCCAAAACGATCACAGCAAAGCGAGGGTGGCGCAGAACATCAGGCGGTACAAAGCTGCAGAGGGCAAGATCAAAGCGATGGCACTACCAGAAGTGGCTCAGCAGGTCGGAACGAAGTGAACACGCCGTACGGGCACATGTGGGTTGTTGAGTGACTATCGGCTGGATTTGAGTCACTGTGCCGAAGTTGCCAGTACGAGTGGGATTAGGACAAAGCGGGCGTGAGAAGTCGACGAGCAAAGCTTGGGAGGGCCGGCGATGTGAGGCTTGGGAGGAAGCGTGAGGATGAGCGAAGACGGATTGGGTCGGGGGGCTTGGAAGCAGTTGGTTGCAGGATTAGATGGGCGATAATCGGAGGGACGTTGGGGGAATGGGATGGGTGAGCTCAGGTGGGTGTGCGCCTGCAAGAGGCGGCTGAGGATGAGCGCCTGGAGAAAGCAGCATGGTGCGCGCCGGGAGCCGGGGTAGACGCGGAGCGCTGTCGATGGGGCTCTGTCAGCGAGGAGGAGGGATCTCGGGAGATCTTCCGGAAAGGGCGGAAGTGAGTGCTCCCGATATGGGCAGCTGGTTGGGGGACCCGAGGCAATGGCGCGCAATGTGGGGGCGCGTTGGCAGAAGGGCAGGGATATAAAGGCAGGGCGCCGTGCCCGAACCCGATCGTCGTCTTATCGCCCGTTGTGCCCACCAAACCACCTCTCCCCCGCGTACATCCTCCCTTGTTCTCCTCCCGCCACCCACTCTCCCACATTCCCACAGTGACACACGCCACCCAGACACGAGACACCCCGCGTATATAGCCACCCAAACAAACCCCCTTTTCGGTCAGTCATCCCCTCCCCTTCCAGTGTCCCTCCCTCCCGTGCCAATGCGTGTCTCCCCCCGCACAGCGATGTCCCCAACGTTCGAATACGAAGTCCCGCTCCGCTCTCCATCCTCTTCATCACCAGCAACAAAGCGCTACCACGCAAATGGCGCGACTCACCACGGCAAATACTCTCCCTCCACCCGCCCCTCTGACATCCCACGCATCCTCGACTCGTCATACTCCTCTTCCACCTCGTCATCCCCCACCTCCTTCTCCATCGACCAGCAAGGTGCTCTCCACGATCCAGACTACCGCGACTTCCCCGCCATTCCCACACATAACACCCGTCGCCGTCCGGCTTGGGAACGCGGTGGTTTCGCCTCGGACGATGACGAGGACGCCTACATGAGCCCAGACGAGGACTACGTCGACGAGGACACGTTCGACGAACGCTCCCGTCTGCGTTCCGCCTCTCCGCGCGAACGTCGGCGGCGGTCAGTCGAGCCGCGCTACCCTGCATACCACACCGCCTCCACCTACAGCTCCCCATACTACTCGCGTAACTCCTTCGAAGAATACTCCCGTCCATCCATTGTCGACGAGTCGCTCGAGAAGAAGCAGAGGAGGAAGTTGAGGTCAAAGGTAGTGAGTCAGGGTCACGTTCACGTAGAGGAGTCCGCCTGGACTCAGGAGGCAGAGGTGAACGATCTCGAGGGAGCCGCCAAGGAGAGCACAGAGTCGTCAGAAGAATATATTTCCCAGCAGATTCATGAGGCACCAGAGTGGACGTGAGTACCCTCTCTAGTACCTTACCTCATTATTACGAGCGCGTTCCCTAACGCGCTTTTGTCTCTCCTTTCAGGCCGACGTGCACGCAGTCCATTCGCCGCCAATGGCAATCATGGTCTCTCAGCGTCCGCTTTAGCATCTTCCGCGCTCAACGTCGGTTGAAGCGAAAGGTCAAAGTAGGCGCATGATCCTTCACCCCCTTCATGCCGATACACGCACACGCCTCTGCCTACTGCAAGCACCTATGCGCCATGTTTCCCTCATCAACGGGACTGGCACAACTTACTCGCATCGTACATCTCTACACATGCGAAACTTTCACGACTCGAGCGACCCGACGATCACGGCTGCCCGTATCTGCATCCGCGTCGGCGAAGCACGACCCCCACGATCATCCTCGGCCATTCACTACGCGACTAGTGGTGCTCGGGCGAGCGATCGTTCATGTCATTGTCCATTCTATTCTGTATAGAGGCGCGGATTGTACACCCTCATACCCCTCCAATCACCTTCCATCTTCCACCATTCCCCATTCTTCACGACCCCTCCGACCCATCGCGCATCATATTGTACATATCCCTCATCACGCCCTCACGTCCCACCTCGCATCGAGCGAGCGGGCAAACGTTCCATATTGTCTCTTTCAACGTACTTACAACATCCTTATGCATCTCTTTCCTCTTTCGGAGTACAAATTCGAACTTGTTTTTTGTCTTTGTTTTTTCGCTTTCGCTTTGTGTATATTGCATCCCTCGTTTATAGGTTTCCTTTCTTCTTCTTTACTACCTCTTTCGACGACTATATACTTTTCAGTCGACGCCTTCGATGTTCGTTGTTCATGCAATGGTTATGGTTCATGGTTACGGATACGGATACGGTCATGGTTACGAACGAGCAATAACTACCTTTGTATAACAGCACAAGCACACAAGCACACACACACTCCTTTTTCCTATCCCCCTTTTCCCGTTTCTCATCCTATCCCCTATCCCCTTTCAAGTTTCCCATTCGCACATCCGAACATCCACGTCTACACGCACGCACATAGTGTTCACGGACACAGTACATATCTAGTTTATGGATCACTAAATGACGAGCCGTACGACGCAGAAGAGAATTGAATACGAAATGATTTTGGAACGAATTATATGTGTGACGGTGTGGATTAAACTGAGCGTTGTGAGACTGAGAGTTATGGGACGTGGGGTAACAGGACGTGGCGTGAATGTGAACTTTGACCGCCCCTTTCCAACAAGCTCACGCTTTACGATTGGATTCTCACGTACACGGTAAGTCGCTCACAGGTGAAGATCCAACGCTTCAAGCGTTGTAATTTGTAATTTGTAAGGGTACTTCCAGTTCCAGGCTGCAGATAGATAGTTCCAGAACGAACCCGTCTTTCAAGTTCGACGATATCGAATTCGAACCAACGAGAACCTGCCAGTGACGGAAACCACTACTAGCACCCTACTATGCTCGAACATTCAGACCGAAGCTCGAGAGCCTGAGATCCATCGGCGGTAACTTACTGTAAAGAGATCCAGAGTCCAGAAGTCCATCAACAATTGCAAAGTCCGGCCCCAAACCCAACCTCCACAATCCCCACCTCTAGATCTGCCACGGTGACCTCCAAACCTCCAAGGAACCGTGATGATATCATTGACGTTTGGTACGCGTATAGAACCACTGTGGCTCTGATGCACTGATATGCCGTGGCCAGGAAGGGCAATGTTCGAACACGGTGGTTGGGATAGGATGGGATAGGGGCTGGAGGGTTGACGTTGATTGCGAGATTGTGAGTAGGGGGTGATGTCATTATAGGTGTGTTGTACTGTATGTATGCATCATCGACATCGTACATGGACGTAGTGGTAAGTGTTCCTAGCAAGGAGCTGCCCTGCACTGTACTGTAGCATGACCGTGAAAGATAAGTTACAAAGTCGTGCCCCGTGATGAGCAGGCTGGAAAGCGTGGCGTGGGGGAGGTAGCGGGGATGACGAGGAGGTACGGCAACCTATTGCTACTAGTGCCAGCCTGAAGTATTTCTAGCCATATGAACGTCAAGTAACGACAACGAGCATGAACAAACCTATCCTATAAGCACGGAAATGCGAACGCGTGGCGTCATGCATACGTCCGTGCTCGCATGTACACCTTTGTAAGTGACTTATTATTGGAGACCTCAGACGTCCAAGTGGGTATAAGCAAAGTTCTTCTAGTCAGCCTTCATCCTTCATCTTTCATCCTTCGAGTTCGTGGGTAATCAAGTGGGTACGCGGAGCAGGGAGCAGGAACTGACATGACGCATCTTCGAATTTCTTCCGTTGGTACGATACGACGGAACGAACGAACGAAAGTGCTTGAGGAATACTACCGACGAGGAGCTGAACGGAGCGAAGTTATTTTGACAATGACAGCCTTCGAATGACGGACGAGCCCCGTCTTCCGAAGCCTGCAAAGCCCCTGTCCAGCGTCAGATTCAGACTTCATAACATCCGAGCGTACTGTGCCTATAAGTGGCCTATGTATCGAGCTTGAATCTCACGGGCAAAGCGTAAGTACACGGAGTTATAACCCGAAGTGAGATACTACAGCCTGCGCCTGTGAAGAGTGGGTTATGATGGGGCCTCCAGGACTGGGCCTAGGAGCCGCAGGGAGACGCGTACGACATCGAATGCCGGTGGGTCAGGACTCAGGCCATGCCTGCCTGTTTGCCTGCCTGCCCGTAGCCTGGACAATGCACAGTAAGATATGATAATAGACGGCTCCCTTCGCCTCCCCGGCGAGCTGTGCACATGCATGCAGCTGTAAGGAGTACTTGTGAAAGCCCAGGAGAGAGGACCGTACGAGGAAATATGGGAGGAATCGGAATGAAGTGGTTTCCTCGAGCCATCGGGAGTTCGGAGACGGTCCCAGACGGAGCGAGATCATCTCGCAATATTATCATGGGTCGATTCGCCACTGCAATTGCGCAAGCGAAAAGGCAGATGATTTTTTTCTCCTTGGAATTGAATATTGAGGAGTCGAAGAAGAGAGGAGTAGAGCATAGCATATTGCAAGTCAGACGGCCGCGGGAGAGTAGGTAGCAGTGTTAGAAGTTTCAATTTATGACGACGTCGCATATGAGCCAATCGGAATCGGTGCAGATGCCGAGCGCACCGCCACAGAGAAAGTCAATCGCCACTTTGGAATGCTCGGAGCGAACCGAAGCCGAGGCCGGCGCTGTGAGTCCGATCAGAGTCCGAATCCGTCCAGGCACCGACGACGTCGTCCGCCACTCGTTGCTCTTGAACTTGTTCCTCGACGTCGACCAGGCATCCGAGTGGGCCACACTCGCTCGTTTTCTGCCTTTTGTTAGGTTCATTATGCTTGAGATTTCGTTGCTTCTGGACCCTCTGCCCAGCCTATTCGTATCCATGTTCTTTCTCTAGATTACTAAGGCGATGAAACCACGCATACTCCATCCTGCACCATTGCACTGCGACCATTTCGACCTAAAGCAGGTATCTTCCCCGAGCATGGCCTCCTCCAGAGTATACGTGAGTACTTACCCTTCCACTTCCAACTTCCCCACAGCTGTACTGCCGCTTTGATCGCACGAACCACCGCGTCCATGGGTGGTATGTTGTACTCATCGAACCTCGTTATGGAATAGGCTCTGAAATCCCGCAGTGGCCTGTTGCGTCCTGCGTATTTATTGATATCCTACGGCTGTTCACGGAAAGGAGCTTCATTCGGAGGTGTAGGTATTCCGAGTGTCTACGCTCCTCCACCGGGCATTCTCTGCTCTACGAAAGTCTTGTTCAGTTCCGCTTGCCAGCCTTGACGCTTTGACGCCGAACTGAGATGAACGTTAAGTTAATATCTTGTCGAGGCACAGCTGCTCTTCTTGGTGCGTAACTAACTTACCACATGCTTATTTTGCTTGTATGACGAGCCAAATGTACCCTATCACTACCCATGCAGGCCCCATACCCCACTCATCCAATTCCCCACAGCTGTGGCATTAGAGCACCGTCGCCCTTCGACCTGATGTATGCCATCGTCCTCGAAGGGGATCGTCACCGCAGTCTCCCGGGGATACCTACTATGCCCGAAGTCTTGAGATCTCTCCTTGGCCCAATCAAATTCGGTTTTCATGGTCTAGTCCACAGCGCCAAATCTCCGCCACCAAGACATTCAAGAACGGGAGAGTAAACTTATCGCACTGTAGTGCTTCCAGTCATTGGCACTATTCAAGTTTCTTCGCGCACTTAGCCCTTTCGTCATGGGATCATCCACGATGTTCTCTTTAGTATGATCCGTCGACATCGCTGCTTTTGGGGTTCACGGTGGTCGTCTAGTGGCATAACGTTTGTCGACGTCAATTGAGGAACAGAAGATTTGCCTCGCTGAAGTCTCGTTGCACCCGTGCACTAACGCAGGTATGCAAATACAGCATTATCGCTTCCATTCTCTGCAGCTGAGCGTCGAGCTTTCCTAATTTCGATACCTGGCATTTCCTCGCACGAACATGCTTTCTCCAGGCGGTCGTCAATCGTACGACGACCAGCTGAAGAACGCCAGATCTCGTGATTCAGACCGTGAGATTGTGTGGCCTTGTCGAGCAGCGGGCTATTGTTTCCCGCAGGCCCTCTTTTGGACAGTTCTCTTTCTGTGGCGTACACTCGTCTTTGCAACGTTCTTATTCCTTTTTTGTTCCTTGGTGTCTCTGTGGCGTGTTTCCGTATCGCAGCATGGCATGTGATTATCCTCGTTGCGATGCTTTATCTTCGTCCACGTACGACCTTACTAGGACGCAGACGCCCATTCACGCTCTTCGAGCTCTCGACGCACAGCAAGCTGAAGTCACCAACGCATCCTGACTTCGTTTCCTCGTCCACTGACCCACCCACAGCACAGATCGCACAAGATCCGGGACGATAACAAGCCGTATCGTCGTCGATTCGTCGGGTTCGACGCACTCGACTGTGGACTGTGCGGCACGTTGACGCTCAGGTGAGCACTTTTTGCATTTTCTCTACGGACGCCGCGTAGGTACATACGTGCATCGTTCGGCATTTTGCTCGAGTCACATCGATGCCTCGGTGCGCTTTGAATTTGAACCCACCCACGCCGACACGCATACCTTACCTCCATCGGGCGCTTGTACTTGCAGTACTTGTTAATTCTTCGAACGCTTCGGATCGTATGTTCGCTTTACACAGCTGTTGGTGCTATACCCCGGATCGATGCACGGATGGTCCGATGCTGAATCGGAGCTCGATATGTATCGTTCACCTAACTTACCTACATTCTTCTCGATCTACGACTTACTTCTCTTTCGAAAACGAAGGAAATGTTCAGGTTATGTTCGGGCATCGTGCGATGTACTGTGCGATTCGAGTTACTGATCCAGATCATAAGACTGGATTGTTTTTCGGGATGATCGCGGCATACGGGAACAATTCGGGCCATGGCAGAGTCATTGGAATGGAGTGAGCTGAAGGGTGGATGAGCAGATGGGTATGTTCGGGAAGATGTGGATTGGTTCGTTGCACGGCTGACTTAGACTTCTGTGACCATTGGCTGTGAGTGTAGATAGAACCCGCGGTCTAGATACTCATAGACGTTCTGGGCAATAGTTTGAGTGGCATCAATGAAGCAGCTGAATGCATGTGAATATACATATTATTCCCGGGTTTAGTGGGGGTAGTAGTAGGTGGTCGGATGTTGTGCATATCAGAATGAGACCGGTTCAGATCACGAGGCCCAGTCAGCTCGTGATAATCGTGGGTGGTAATGCTACGTAGCAGCCGCCTTGTCTGCTCTCTCTTGAGAGAATAGGCGTCTTTATTCCTGGCATAAGTTCACACAAGTTGACGCTACACTAGCAAAGGTACAATCAGCTACGGGTCTACGAAGGAGATGCTATCATTCTCGACCATGATGTGTACCTAGCTCAAGCATCGTACCTCAAATGATGGGCATAGAAAGCCCATTTAAGGGTTGCTGTGCTCTATCTGCGACTAACGACGTTTCGTTTCCGGAGCACGGTGCTCGAAGAGATGGTCCAGGAACGCGAGCCTATAACATTCGGACCCGTTTACCAAGCCATGTACAATAAAATCCACAGGCTCTCTGTCTTTGGACATAAGTACATCCGATGATACTCGCAGTATCAGGGCCGGTGGAGTACCCTTTTACCATCACACCTGTGTCTCGTGGACCATCGTGGTATATGCTGGCAGATACGGTGAGTAGCACACCGGTGCTCACACCCGAGCCTCCCAAGCTCCTGACTAAAACGGTGTACAGACACCACGCCAGCTTCAGACTGAGAGCCAGGTGGCATGTTACTGTAGGACTCTTCATGTACTATCTTCGGATAACATCGTCCACTTATATATACAGTCAGCCGTGGTGCGCCCACAAGACCAGCACGCAAGTGACACGTCGATGCTCAAATACATGTCCATACGCGCATCGCAGCAAGTAGTACATCCAGGATTCCCAGACGGTCATTGAGAGTGGATGATAGGATGTGTGCATATGGATGCCATGTCTGAACAAGGGGTCACATTGTTCTTGTTTCTCCGCATAGAGTGAGAGTGAGTAGTATCTGGCGTGTACTTGTGCTATCGGCTCATGGCCTGAACAACAGTCCAGTGGAGAAGTGACACCCAAGAGACACGGATACTGTATATGGTCCTACCACCGCGCATGAAATGTACCATTTGTATCCTCCGATGATCGTTGAGGATGAAAGTATCGGTTCTGTGGGAGCAGTCATGCACCCACTCGTCTGCTGTGTGCCTCACGCAGGCAAGTGAAGTATATGTGCGCAAGAACCAGTCACGGTGCTTGAGAGCGGATGGAGGATACATCGCAATGTGTTCACGGCCGAGAAACTGAGCAACTTCGGAGAGAAGGGAGTAATTGCCCCGGAACAGTGAAAGAAAATATTTCCAGATGAGCAGCAATCACTACGAGAATTATCCATGCAGTCGTCTGAGCACAAGTGCAAGTGTACAGAAAGGAAACTCGCTCAGATGGGCCATAAAATACGCCTCAACCTCGCATTTCGAATATTGCAGTCTTCGTCAATTCATAGACGCTCGCGCTGTAGGCGTAGGAACCTCGAGGCGATCTGCTACTTGGCTAGATGACCTGATTAGGAGAATGGAGAAAGGAGAACGCACGGCGAATTATCTGTGTCGAACAAGCATGAGTGACCGTAAAGAATACAGATTCAGTAGGTTCAATAAGACGGTTCTCACCTGGTCCTCATTGTGTCAAGACAGACGTCGATGTCCACCGCGAATGACGTTTGTACAGGAACACGAGCCAACACGATGTCAGAGCTTTTCGAGAAGGGCGACATGATGCATAGAGGCGGGACCATGCACGCCACCTTACATGTGAAGAACCCATGGGGCATTCTAACGATACTGACCAGAGAAACTTCGAAGCGCGCAGATGCAGTTGTTCGAGACTTCCAGCTGAGTGTTCAAATGACTAGTACTGCTAAGATGGGAGACCGCTAGAATGCATGACTGCGTGGCTTTACACACGCATAGGCCTGCACAAGATTGAACCATTAAGAAGACCGAAATAACCAGTTTTTGACCTCAGACCATAAGGATGGGGCTTTCATGGATGAGCATCAGCTACGTTGGCGTCCGCGGCGAGAGTGGGAATGATGAGCACGCCGTTGGGGTGAATCCGACGGGACGCGTCGGCCGTTCTCTCGCGTAAGTGGCCCGCCAACTTGTTGGCCTTTGATCCGAGTGGCCACCCGAGCTAGCCAAGTTCCGATGTTCAGGCTGCCAAGGCGTCAAAACTGCTGTTGATTTGTCCGACCTCGGTGGCTGTGCTCTGTCATGTTCGTTCATCACTGCGCAGACGGTGTGGTGGCACCAGCCGCGTACTTATTCACGCTACTGCCTATTCTCCTTTTCTAATGGCAAGTATTTGTTTGACATTGCTGATGTGAGCCTGAGTGGCCCGCTATAGTACGTTGTGCCGGCCTACTCACGCTTGTTCGTATTTGAATAGGTATGGCACTCACCGTCGCTTTTCTGCATCTTCCTGATCACTGCCGATCTTCTACAATCCATCGAAATTGGCCACACGCATGGGGATTAAATCTGACTCACAACATCGTCAGAAGTTAGGAATTGATGAAAAACGAGTCCTACGGAGGTTTGGGTAAGGAATTAGCACTGACCACAAGACTGCTTAGCTTGGCTATCTCCAAGCTCGTGGGCATCGATGACTGTAGCTAAGTTCTTCGTTGTTCTTTCTTTCTGTATACTCACCTTCTGTTGTTATTCCGTTCTATGATGGCTGTTAGACGGTGTCAAATGTTCACAGGCCCTACCCAACGAAACCTGGATCATTCGCACCGTCGGTGTCACGGTATGTACCATAAAATATTCAGACATGTTAGGGATAAATACGCTTCCCATCACGTCCACCATGACATGTATGCTATTGTTTCAAGTCCATGAATTTCACCCTATACATCTCCACCAGGCTTTACAGTGAGTGCCTTGGAATTTCGGTCCCTGTCTTAGGTCTAAAATACTTGTGTCTCTTATCGCCTCAACTAGAATGTGGCGTTCGTCTTGCTGTGAAAATCCGGCTATTTCTCGATTAACAAAGGTTAGTAGCGGCAATCCGACTCATATTCCTCTTCTAGTGGGCGACTATAGCTCAGGTTGGCCTTCCAAACGCTTAACCATCCGCATCTGCATGCATGTGGCACAGGGTATAGACGCTGCACTGTGTGCCGCTTTAGCCCTTAGACACGCGAATGCATTGACTTCCAAGCTCTCGCTCTAATGGGTGTTTGCTTCGCCCGATTCCCATGGAGTCCATCGGAGATACCTCGTCTCGGTGTTCAATCTCAAGCCAAGAGGAAGGCTTGATATACGTTCGTGACCCAGAGAAGTCTGCTTGGCATGTTCAGCTGGACAGAATCTAGATGTCTTTACGTTGTCAATACAGGTGATGCAAAGGTTGGAGGGCAGAGCGCATGCAGAGATCTCGTTTGCCCTCGTACCTGATCATGGGTGGATCGTGCTCAAATCAATCATCACTCGAAGGCGTTGTTAGTTCGAGTATATGCATAGGCCATTCGTCCTGAGTTGGGTTTCGTGGGATTTTGCTTTGTGGGTGATCTTGGCTGACTCACCCACAATGCTGAACGATCATTCACTTGCACAGTCAACCTCGAACTCACTCACAGGCGTCTGCTTACCATTGCTTTCTCGAGCTCCTAAGTTTATCCTTTCTTTACTAAATATACTTCACCGTCACTCGGGTACTAAAGCGTTTATAGACAATCCACCTCCACCTAACCAGTCGGCTTTGAGAGAAGTTGTCTCCGCTAATCTCAGTTCAACGAACCTTATACGGCGAGACCCGGAAGCAGTGAAGCCTATGATTGCATAGCGCCCCTGCTGCTTATGGCGCTTGACTATACCCTCTGGGATGCTCGTTCGCACTCCTTCGTCCTCGAGGTTAGAACTCTGGAGGGCGGCTGTCGGACCTTTCACCATCCGATGATACGATGCGGGTGCTCGTAGGCGTTTGTCCTCACAAAAGGCGACAAACACAAACCTTCTACCTCGGCGGAATCCTGGACGTTCTCTCAATGGATGCATGCCCGAGCAAGCGGATGATTGGCCACTTCCACCTTCCGTGTTGAGCCGGATGCCGACTCTTGTTGGTGTGTGGTGCCTTCAGAGATCACGTTTCTGGATTAGACAGATGCTCTCATGCAGAAAGGATGATTTCCTTTCGAAAGTCGCATCTTATCAGTCCGCTCATCTACTCTTTTTAATTACAGTGACTGTCACGATCTCTCATTCGCCAATCACGCGTGTTCTTCGAGCTATTCGCCCGGCCTCCATCTCGCGATCGTGCGAGATGAAATACGCCAGCCTGCGGGCATGGTGTATCTTGTTGAAGCAGCTTGAAGGCTGAATATCAAAGACACGCAGATCCTGATTACGGACGACAGTACCGTGTTCCCGTGAGAGACGAGCTGCCGGTACCAATACTGATGTGCGTCTATTGTTCTTTAGAGGCATGCATTCACACGAGCTCCCGCTCATTTCCTAGACTTTCATATCACACGGCCAAGGTTAATAGACCTAAGCTTTGATTACGGCGTCATCGAATTCATAGATGATCGTGTCCCTGATCATAGATGCTAGATATCCCGAGATTATCGTGGATGGATAAAAGCTTGGACTGTGATGTCTCCTGTTCTCATCTTCGTTGCCTCGATGTGGCGGTGCGATTGTGGGCAGCGTACCTGCCGATCTACAATGCGTGCGTGGAGGTGTACATACACGTGTTGTCTCGAGTGGCGGGATGCTATCATCCAGTGGCTCACGCGTGTGTACCAGCCTGCACTCTGTTTGAGGCTGACTGTGTTCGAAGCACATAGGTCAACATCCCCATTTACGAGTGGCTCACAGGCGAGGCGACTACGCAGAAACACATACGCTCGAAGGGTGGTATGTGTATGTTCCAGTTCTTCCATCCGATGCTTCGCGCGATCATTCGTTTTCGTGTGCATGTATAGGAGCTCGAGCCACCGCCATCCGTGAGAGTCTGCTTCACAGCAATATAACATTGTGTTATAATGCAGCGCTGGAGAAAGAGAGAAATTGCCTGACCGCTCACTTATTAATTTGCCGTTCCCACAGATACACAGGCGTTTGAATGGCTGGACATGTGCGGCAATATTGCCGGTCAACGTGGAGAATGGAACGCAGAGTCCTCTGGGAACTTACAGTGGCGAGGAAAGCAGACCTCAGACGCACCGCAAGAGAACGTTAGTCACCGTTTCCATGTGTGGCGCTAGCTACCAAGTTGCGAGGGAGACCTCCTGGTTCACATAGTCTTCCATATTCGGTTGGGGAACGGTATTTTGAGTCTAAATGTTCATCAGCAGGGACAAAGCAAGTATGAATCTCCGGATCCCCCAGTGTGGTGAACGCAGGCCTCGTCGCACTCTAGTCGTGGATCGATGTCGTGTACATGTCGAAGAAGCAGTGTGTCCGCCGCACAGGTCGTTGAGCCACTGGTTTAGGTGGCGGAATTTACATCGGAGATCCACTTTCTGCATCAGCGTGGGTCTGCCCCAACAGCTCCGAGAGCTGCCTGGGCGATGGATCTTCGCACACGAGCCTCGTGGATCTAACTTTCTACCACATTCAAAGCGAAGTGGCTCAGTTATCATGATATCCTGAAATTGAAGGTACACGCATATGCAACGTGGACCAACAGCTCAAGGATCTGTCTTTGTGCAGCTCAGGCTCTGTAGCGCTGCCTCCGCTGAACGTATCTCCACGATCGTCTCCGTCCCGCAACGAAGATATCATGCCGCAGTGCCTCGCAGGAAACTTCATACCATCCTGGTATCCTGGTATCGTCATTACTTTACCGCAGTATCTGCAGATTCCACGTAGCTCCCGTACCTTTGGCATGCACTTTGCCGGTATCCGGGAAGCAGGTCTCCTGTATCATCGGTGTACGTTCGCACGTCATTCGACGAGTGTGATAGACGAGTGAACGCAGTCGTCACTGGTGTGATGATCGCATGCTGGTACATCCTGAACTGAGTTCAGCATGGCGTCACGGGAAGAATGGGGCAAATAGTGTGGTTTAACCTTGAATGACGGTAGATTATGATGCTACGGGTGGCCAGGTCGCAGGAGATATATGGGCTCAGTTTCAATGAGAAGGAACATAGGACTCCACTTGCAGCATACTATAATTGCACTGAGTATCCCTGGCTTAGAAATAGTGTGTTAATAATGGCCTCAAATATAGCAAACTTCACAGGAAGACCGACTAATGTTCAGGAGAGCATAAAACCGGCATATGTCACCCCTAGCACTACCTGTACCACGCTTCATTCTGCCTTGAGGCTATGGATCGTGGAGTACTAGTTGTACCGATATTACTGTGCATTTCTTTGGTGGTGGTGCCGCATCCATGACGAAGCGAAGTGCGATGAAGAGGTCTCGTCGCAAAGGCCTCGGACAAGCGGAGCGAATCATCATCATCATCATCATCATGTCTCGTCGTGGTCGGATTAAGTCTACAGAAATTATCCTCGAGCCACCGCTCAAAGTCATCCATTTAGTAATGGAAGGTGCACGAGGCATGGCAGCGACTCACCGGTCGAAAAGAGCAAGACAAACATGCGACTTGGGAGTCAATATGGTGCGCGCAGATGCAGCACGGAGGGCTCCGTATTATCTCCATCAAGTGCAGGACTGCGAGAGGAGTTCTGATTGCTGCAGGGTCTAGGTTAGCAGGCGTTTCGATCTGAGCGACTTGCTTATACGAGTGTATAGTATGGCTAGCTCGGTGATCGGTCGACAAAAACGCAAGTCCAAAGGGCTCGAATATGTCGACGACGATCTATGACGAGGTGCTGGATCAGGTATAGTTGAACGAGAAGGGGTGCGGAGGTACAAAAGTAGCGAGTTTGCGAGGAGGTAAAGGTGGAGAAGTCAAGGAGGAGGATCGATACAGGATATTCGCAGTCGACTGAACGTGTCAACGAGCTGGTATGAATAATGGGGTGCACTCGAGGACAGAAACGACGCTTACAGGCGGTACCGGCGTCTGGAGTAGTCCAACGTTAGTCGATCTTTACCGTCGTTGTGTCTGAAAACATGAACTTGCGGAGATAAGTCGAACATCGGTGGACGTAGTGTCTGGCGATCAAAGCGACAGGTTATCGTATGCTTGATAAACGCACTTCAGATCAGGGTACGCACTAGACGATCCGAGATAAACATGCAGCGTTGTCCTGGAAATTTGACATAAAGACAGAGATCAGAGCTGCGTGCTGAGGGCTCCTGACCCGCTGCAGGTTCTAAGAATGATCGTCGGGACAGTACACAAGGCTAGAGAAGCCTGTAAAGAAGCATGCTGCACTGAAGTAATGTGGCGTTTTCGCGTTTCCTAGGTCCATCACGATCAGTGCTCGGTGCGTGTGCCGTCTTGCGCAGAGAAACCAGTAGTAATCGAAACGGCACTCTCGAGGCTGATGGTAATTGAGGTCAGCGACGACTCGGAGTTGACAGCCATCGATCCAAAACTGAGACTGAGTCTGAGCCCGAGACTGACCGATCCCCAATGCTTGAGGTTCAACAAAGCCAAGAACCTTGAATAAAAAGGAGTTGATAATGAGGAAGACTGATAGTTGCGGATAGTTGAAAAGCAGAGAAAGTGGCCCGGGGTGGCGTGACGTCTCGCGCACGGCGGAAGATGCCGAGAAGCCATAACAGTGTGTCCAAAAACAGCATCCAATTGCGAGTTTGCTTCCGCCTCGACACTTCTGTCGTTCAAACCCCCGCCACACAACCGTGTTGTTAGTGATATGTCGGATTCGGAAGGAGAACTTGAAGGGTATCTCGATCCGCTTAACCTGGCCTTATCCCATCTTATCATGGTCTCTCTGTTGGTACTACAGCCCTCAAACATACTGGACACGCGCTGCCGAACCTCGTCTAACCATCTTCCGGACATGGCAAGACGAGGAGTCCTCGACTGATGCTGCCGAAGCTTGCCGACGCCTTGAAGACGAAGTCTCAGTGCTGTTATCCATCGTCAGTGCAGTTCAACAAGAGAAGAATGCGTTCGTTCCAATTCATCGACTACCTGCCGAAGTCCTGCTCCATTGTTTCTGGTTCCTGCTGGAAATAGAGCCACCGGTATTTCAAGATGAAAACAAGGAAGATGCTTGCAGGAAAAATAGTATCATCTCCGTACCACAAAAAACAGTTTCGCGGACTATTGGCTGGATCAAGGTACTACAACATGTCCCGATGTTGTCGTGTGCTGTGTTCAGTTATACGGCTACTGAGACGATCATGTAGATTCATTACTAATCTTTGTACTTTTTTTTTGAAGGTTACCCATGTTTGTCACCACTGGAGAAAAATTGCCATAGCTTATCCTGGGTTTTGGACCACTCTCACGGACGACCTCCCAGACGCCCTCTATAACACCATGCTCGAACGTACGGGCGATGAGCCACTTCTGGTTCAACAGGACTTGGACACGCCCACGGGTAGGATGCGTGCGGAGAACTTTGTTTTGCACCACCTCAACCATGTCCGGGAATTGAGGTTTCGTGGCTCCGCTGATGCATTGCAGGCCGTCGCCGAGGAGTTTTCACAGCCTGCGCCCATGCTAGAGGTCCTTGAGCTCATTTGTAACCGAGCAAAAGGCCTCAAACCAGGACTTGTACTCCATTCCTCATCCTTTTCCAAAAGCGCTCCACGTTTACAGAGTGTCTCACTGAGGCTTCTACCGTTCCCGGAATCCTCTTCGTTTCTACAAAACGTTACAAATTTTTGCTTTGAACTCGAAGAACGCAATCCTGCCCTTCCATCCGTGGAACATCTCCAATGCGATCCAGACGAGACGCTTGCGGTCCTCGATTGTATGCCTTTGTTGGAAAATCTCCGACTGCACCATACCTTCCTCCATACGTCTGACACCGACGACATGCTTTATCGTCCACCATCACGCTTGGTCAAGTTATTCTATCTTCAGACAATGGACCTGCGGAACACCTATATTGGCTGTATCGTCACACTCAAAGGCCTTCGTATCCCGTCCTCATGCCGCATATCCCTCGAATTTCATTCGTTTACCCCGCGTACCACAGAGGAAGTTGTCCCACTGCTTAACGTCGCACTCATCGCTCTGGATGACATCGTGACGGGACATCTTCCCACCTTCCGCGCTCTACGCATCAACGTAGGCAACGACTTCAGCTCATCCATCTCAGCTCGCGGTAGGATGCTCAGCATCCTCGGTTGGCGCACTCCCATCCCTGAAGATCGCATAGCCGACTTTGACACCCACCCGTATATGGACGAGGCACCACCAGATATGACGCTGGAGCTCAAACTCGGAGCCCGTCCACTCAAATGCCGGGACCTCCTTCAGAAGGTCTTTGGGTACTGGGACATGCGCACCGTCGATACGCTCTCCGTCCGTTTCCCGAATCGCACCACCGGCGCCGAGTTCTGGTACGACTTGGCCTTGCATTTCAAGAATATCCGCCATTTCGTCGTAGAAGTTTCCAAGCTCACTCCTGAAATCATGCGTCTCATCCTCCTCGGACGTAGCCATCTCAATCTTCAAGCTCGAAGTCCTCCCGCCAGTCCCATCCCCACTTTGCAACCAACATTCGAAACCCTTCACTTTCCCCTTCTCGCATACCTTGCTTTCCGCGACCATGCTACATTCCCAGCCGCATGGTGGAACCCCATAGCCTCTGTGTTGATGGAGCGCAAAGGCAAGGATGGGGCGTTCGCTTTGCAGACGTTGTGCGTGCCGAGCGGGATAAAAACCTCCACGCCGGACGCTAGCCTGGACGAGTTGCGGAACATGGGCGTGGCTGTCAGACTCCGAGCTCCTGTCTCGGGCCCTTAAGGAACATGTTATATAGTTGGAGACGAGTGCGAAATCGGACTCGGACGAAAGGCTACGATACTTTGGTGTGGTATGTTCTGCTTCAGCATCTGATGCTATCGAGTCGTTGTTTTCTTTTTCTGCAGACTTTTTACGCTACAAATAAGACCCACGTTCTCTTGCTTTTCTATGATTCTGTTCATCCCGTTGACTACACGCTACCTATGTCGCAAATAGTTCGAAGTTGTTGATACCCCTAACGAATCACATCCAGCTACACTGTTGATACGATACTATACCGTCTTTGACGTCGTGTGACACTCGTAATTATCCCAAACCAATTCTTGCTTTCCTTTACCCTTTTACCAGTGTTTTCGAGGACTCCTAGATCCGTTCTTACCTCCTGCGTCTCTCGACGGATATATGAGATCAGAACTATGGATAGACAACTCATCATGCATTCACTACTTGAATAAATACTTGATAATGCGAAACGCAAAACAAAAACAATAGAGAAAGAAAATGCGATGAATTGCTCCCCGGTATACGGAGGTTGAAGGGCTAAGACACAGACAGCAGGAAAGCATTGACTGAAACCAAAAGAAAAAGAAAAGGGACGAACGCTACTCAAACTGGACACCGGTTTACCAACTTTTCATGCTCCGTCAAACATCAACAAAAAAAAACGAAACAAGCAAAGACTCCACTACTCATTATAACTATAGCGTATCTTCAAAGTCCATAGAATACGCACACGTCTTTCCACAAACTCGGAGCGAGCTCAAGCTCTTGCGCCACCAACAAGCCTCCTGTAGAACAACAGGTATGCACACCGGTCGTCCCTGTCCAACCCACTAAACACATCCTCTTGCCTCACGTCCGAGACGAGTTCATCGTCAATTCGGATCCAGCCTTCGCGGGGTTTCACGCCCCCGTCACGGTTGGGATGCAAGACGTCCAAGGTGTAATGACCGCCCGATGCGGAGAGACCGTGGTGGTAGAGAACTGAAGGAATTCAAGTAGCCGTCAGAAATGACTCATTAGGCGAGGAAAGGTTCGATCGGCTTACCTCCGTAGAGCTGATACCTCGCCGGTGGACCCACTTTCTTACCTGGGGCCATGAGGTCTACGCGCCGAATCAGTACATTGCCAACCCATGAAGAGAAGTGGATGGTTGAAGGACAAAGTACTCACCGCTCCCAATATCCAATTCGGGCCCAAACTCTACCATCTTGCCGAGCTTCACCACCCCCTTCGCGTCCACGTCGTAGAGGAACCTCTTCAGATGGAGCACCAAGATGCGTGGCAAAGCTTCGATGAGGATCTGTTGACTGGCTTCGACGGGAACGCGGGTGGTCGAGTTGGTCACCTGGACGGATTGAGGGATGGAGATGCGAGCGAGAGCGTCTTTGATTGTGTGAACGGATTCGGGCTGAACAAACAGGGGGAGTGGAATGTAAGGAAAAGGGGTGAATCAAATACAAGACGAAACAAACCTGGATATCGAGCTGTAATGACCTCCAATCTTCGACCATGACCGAATCGCGCTGTCCTGGCGCACGGAGCGTAGACCTGAACTTGCCTCCGAATATCCTCGTGATAGGGGACTCCGTCGACTTGACCTATACCCGCATACAATTTATCAGCACCAACGACCCAACAGCTATAGAAAGCATGAGGGGCAACGGAGAGAATGAAAGCTTACGGTACGCGTGACGACGCTCTTGTTCTTCTTCCCCACCTCCATCCATCCCTCCTCCTGCGGTGGCTCCTCCACCTTCTCCTCGATGTTCACCGGCTTTTCCTTCTCCGCTTTAGAAGGAGGGTTTATCGCAGACAAGAGCGACAACAACTCTTCTTCCAGTGTATCCAGATAAAACCCGAAGAACTCTTCCGCGTCTTCCTGGTGGCCACCCTACAGAATCAACAACATATCACAGGTTAGCGACTTATGTCATAACACAGAATCTGACGGAAAACGAAAGGCAAGAGAGACCCACCCGCATATTGTCAAACCTCTTCTTTTCCTTCATCGCATCATACACATAAGTCGGCATGAACGAATCTAACCCATCTCCCTCTCCCTCATCCTCCTGCTCCCTCCTTTCCTTCCCCTTCCCATACCCATTCGGCCTCCTCTCCTTCTCCTTTTCTTTCGGCTCCACCGGTCCAAACTCTTTCAAGAATCTGATCGTCGCATCTACGAGTGGCGTATCTCCCTCCTCATGCACCTTCACACCATTCACTGGCGTCGCAGTACCAGAAGCCTGACCTGGAGTCGGACCTTGACTTTCAGGAAGTAACTTGCCAAGCTCGGTCATCAGCTTCCAAAACGGAGGACAGTAAACCAGCAACTGCAACACAGCGTTCGCGAAACACATATTCCCGCTATTGACCAAGCCTCTCGGTCTAATCTTCGGTGGCTGCGACGCTGCCTTTGGAGCAAGACTCTTTCCAGCGGCTGCTGAAACGACAGCGTGAGTACCAGAAAGGAGGTTGACGAGCTCTGTCTTGCGTGCGGGTGCGATGCGAGCGGGAGGTGGAGATGCGGGAACGGAGAAGCCGACGATGGACGAGGTTGGAAGGCTGCTCTTAGAGGAGGACGGGCTTGCGCCGTCGTCCTTACGGAGGAGAGAAGCCCATGTCTTCTTCGGCGCCGGAGGGCCGGGAGTAGGGGCGGGAACGGGCTTGGACGTTGATGCTTCTGGGGTAGCGGCCACGGGTGCTGCGAGTTCGGCCGCAGGAGTCGAGGGCTCTGGTGCAGGAGCAGTAGAGGTAGTAGCTTCGAGGGTCGAAGTCACAGCGTGTTTACTCTCCGTCTCCGCGGCAGTGGAAGGACTGGGAGCATTCTCAACCTTCGGTGCCACAGAAGACTTGGACGGAGTCTTGCGGTCGGGCGACTGAGTGATAGCAGCACCAGAAATGGACACCGAAGTGTTGGTCGAGAGAGGCGACCCAGGCATGGGAGTATCAGGCGATGTACTCGTGACAGCCGACGACGGAACATCGCTCTCTTCATCTGGTTTCGAAGTAGTAACAGCTTCGACCTCTACCTCAGATTTCTTCTCCGGTTCCTCCGGTGCGTGAGCAGGAACAGTAGTAACGGAGGGAACGGGAGGTGGTGGCGAAGGCGGCGGCGTCGATACTTTGAGGGATCGCTGAATAACGATCTCGGGCGGACAGGCTCGTGGAGAGATGATGATTCCAGGAGCATGCGTAGGGTCGTGAGGGCGCCTGGACCAGATGGCCCAACCACCAACGGAGTTCGAGGACGGCGTCGACGTAGAGAATTGAGATATTGAACTCGATACGGAGGGAGAGATGGACATGGCTTGACTGCGAGAGTCTGGAGAAGGAGAAGGGCTAGGAGGTCTTTCCAATATGGCCGGCTCTTCGGATTGTGTCGCAGACTCAGTTTCGATGGCGAGTGTTGGAACAGATGCATTAGATTCCTCAGGCTGGGGCTCCGGCTCTGGCGCAGATGATATTTCGACTGAGGCGAGATGTACCTCTGGAGGCGGAGCAGGCGGTGGTTCTGTTTTTATTTGTTCAATATCTATCTGGACGAGCGGTGCTTCTTCCTGTCTGGGCGGAGGATGTGCTGGCGCGGCTAACGGAGATAACTGTGGCGGAGGCGGAGGCATAGTCATTTGTTTTGGGATAGGCGATGCAGCTCCTTGCGGCGGTACTGTTGGCAGTGGTGGTGGTACGTGCTGAAGATGTGGGGGTAGGTAATGTTGCTGGTAACCGTTAGGGTGTTGCTGCTGGAGATGTGCGTGGGTGAAGGTAGGAGAATACGGGACCGCTTGTGGGTGAAGAGGATACTTTTGAGGGGCGAGTTGCTGGTGATGCTGGAATGGACTTGACGGAGAAGGGGCTGGGGAATGAGGATGGTGTGGCATGGGCACATGAGGCTGATGGTGGTGAATGTACGGCGAGTGCGGGAGTTGCTGGGGTTGGTGTTGGGGATGCATTTGTGGCGGAATGTGAGACGAATGATAATTTTGATAGCTCGGACCACCGCCGCGAGAGGCTGCTGGATGATAGCCGCCGCGAGTGGGACCAGGAGCAGGTACGACACGAGGAGACGAAGGTTGGGCTGGGACGGGATGCGCGTGACCGTTCATGACAGGGTTCGGTGCAGGATACTGATACGGGTATGGGACCGGTTGGGGGTGACCATTCATCGGGGAAGGCGCATAACCGTAAGGCATAGGTGGTTGGTGGTAGTAAGTCGATGGTCCGGAATGAGAGTATGGAGACTGAGGGCCAGGCATGGTATTCTTATGCCAATCTGCTCTGGCTATTAGTACGATTTGTCACCGCATGATAAACAATGATTTCATACAAAAGTACTGTCCGGTACTGTTTGTGCTTATAAGAAGGTTATTTTGTTGTGCTGAGTATGGGTCCCCGTTAGAACGCCACGAGCTTCAGGTGAGACGACGAAGAGACCTCGTGCGAGAGGAAAGCGTGCTTGGTGACTAAGTCAAGTTCTAGATACTTCCTTCCAGGCAGTTGATAGCGCAGTTGTAGGGTTCAAAGAATAACCTGGCGTCGAACAGAGTAGCTAAGTCGTCGGGGATGATGATGGAGGTGCAGAGCAGGATGCAGGAGACGACGAGGCGTGCTCGTCCTCGGAACAAGACTCGCAAGCCAAATTCCAATATACAGCTGACGTACATTCCCACGTTCACATCCTGATCTTATCAAAATAAATCGGGCTCCGATATTGTAAATAATTGTCCACTACGTGGCGAAAATCAAGAGAAAATATACTGATGTACGATAGCTATGAGCAAAATAGACAGACAGGTAGAAGTGGGACCACTAGGAAGAATAGACAGCGGAGGTAAATAAAACGGGACTATAATAACAATATATGGATTCAAACATTCAAAACAAGACTACTCAACATCCGACGACGACCCACCCTCACTCCCACTCTCAGCTCCCTCCCTCTCCTCCACCTCCGGCGTCTTCTTCCCAACATTAACTCCACTCACACTTCTCCCCACATTCGGCCGCCCCCCTGCACCTCCAGGTCTTACGCCAGAAACTAACGACCCCGACCTCCCTTTCGTCATCGGATGGCCATGCCCGAGACTCGAAGAAGATGATCCAGGACCGGTACCTGCGATAGACGAGTTTCTCATACCCAGTCCGAGCATGTACATCCCCGACGTGGTCCTCTGCCTCACCCCGGGACCGCCGCTACCTCCAGCTACGCTACCGAAGCCGCCATTGCGAGGTGAGCCAGGACTAGGGATGCTTGGGTTCCACGCCGGCATGGGAATCCGAAGGTCCAATGCAGCGAACGGATTTGCCTGAGTCTCATCCGATGGTGTACGGTTGTGTACATGACTAGTCGGGAAAGTATGGGCGTGAGCTTGAGCTTGAGCTTGAGAATGCATAAGTCCTGAAGAAGGCGCACGACGAAGACGCGGTGAGGTCATGACGGATCCAAACGTCGGCGGTGCAGGCGCGGGACTTGAAGACCTCGAAGGCGCGAAGAAACCAGCGGCCAATTGACCCCAAGATTGTCCTTGCCCCCCACCCACCGACTCTGAATCTGGAGATGGAGAGGCGTCGCTGCTCTCAACGAGTCCATGCACCGCCCTCTTCACACATGCAATGTCATGTTCCAAATCTCCCAATTTCCGCTCGAAAATCTTCTTCGCCCTCTTGACAGCATCTTCCTCCTCCACCTCTTCGGTGTCACCGCCATCACCGCTCAAAGCTCCAACAAACACCTTAACCGCTTTCTCAACCTCCTCCCTCTCCTTCTCGTTCGTGATAGCCCCGGGTATCGAGAGCAGCGTAACATAACCTCTCGTTATTCGTTCCTCATCTGCGATACGGATCTCGAGCTCAACTCGGGCATCTTCGTTGTAGTCATCCAAGCGAGAAACTGCGGTTTGCAAGAGTGATGCTTGCTGCGCCTGTGCTTGAGCTGATGCGATGGTGGGGGATGATTGAGCAGGGAGGGTGGATAGCGTGTTCTTGAGATCGAGAAGGGCGAGGTGACAATCTCGGAAGGAGCGTTGAATTTGGTCGTACCGGTTCTTCACTTTCGTTAAGTCATTCAGGAGAGGATGTGCTGGTGGTGGGGGTGGTGGTGTAGGAGGCGCAGGTAGAGGTGATGGTGGTGAAGATGGAGCCTGAGGCTCCGAGGTAGGACCTTGGGTATCATTGTGTTCCTCATATGGTGAGGTTGTTTCTGGATGGGAATCGACGGGCGGAAGGGTCTCGGTAATGGACAGTTTGACCGGCGAATTATTTGCCGTTGTGTGCGACGAAGAAGTTGACGGGAAAGACACCTTGGCAAAATCTGGGAGGGAGGATGCGGCTGTAGGCGAGCGCGGCAACGAGGGAGGTCTAGAGTAGTCATCTGCGAGTCGCGGTGAAGGTTGAAGGAGAACGACTGAAGGAGAATCCAACGCTGCTGTGAGGGGAAGGGCAGGAGAAGGGGGTTCGGTATTATGATGAGTGCTTGTCGAACCATTCTGCTGAACGACAGGAGAATCGATAGCTGAGGGAGGTGGCGCTTCGTGACCATTGCTGTCGCGCTGAACCTTGAGCACCCCGTTCCCGAGTGTGTTGACAGCATTTCCCCGTTCATCGAACTCTGTCCTAGCCAGATTTCTCTCCAACTTCATCCGCTTCTCCGTCTCCATCTGCAATTCCTCAACGAGCGTTTTGACCGCATCCTGAGCGGCCAAAATTCTGGCCAGACTTCCAAGGCCCGAATCCACGCCTTCTTGTCTGTTGCTGCCGTTAACCAGAGCCAACAAGTCGCCTGCGTCCTCAATGACCGCATCGAAGCCCTGCCTCATCTGCTGAACGTCTGTTTCACCGAAAACAATCGGCCCTTCCTCGTCTCCTTCCCACTGTAACGGCTCCAGCGAAGACCTTGCAGTAGTTTCCCTCGCTCTCCTGATCCACCTCTTCAGTGCCTCAGCCAACGCGTCTTCCCTCCCAACAACCGCTAACCTCAACGCGATCTCTCGTCTTCTCCCGTACGCCTCTCTGGCAAGTTGTTCCGTAAGTTCGTCAAGGGCTGTTCTTAATCGCTCGGAGTGTTTCCGCTCGGATCTAAGGGTAGATTGAAGATTTGACAGCTCGAGATTGAGGGTAGCGGTTGAGGCGGTGTGGCGGGCTTTGAGGTTTTCGATGGATTGTTGGAGAGTGTCGGTTGTTGACTGTGAGAAGCGCCTAAGAGGTACGGTCAATTTAGGGCTCGTAAATGAGAAACGAGATGTACACACATATATCTCGAGACCATCTTAGCAGCGGCGTTGTCATCGGCCTGTAGTTTCGCTAGCTCAGCCCTGGCGTGAGCGAGTTCAATACGATCCCGCTCTCCAGCTTTGCTCTCCGCGTCATGCTTCGCCTCCGATATCTCCAACTCCGAATGCAGTCTCTCGATCTCTTTCTCAAACTTCTCCGTCTCCTCGTTAAACTCTTCCAACAACTTCTGCAATCCCGTCCTTCCATCTTTCAGGCCGTCGACCAAGCCCTTCGAACTTTCGGTCCCGTTGATCATGCTGGACGAGGACGACGTATTTGAAGAAGTGGCCGACTTCCTCCCTTCGAGCGTCCTCACCAGATCCGCGTACTCTCTAACCACATTGTCCGTCATCTTCCTCTCTTCCTCTGCACTCCTCAACCTCCTTTCCAAATCCCTCCTCTGCACCTTCCCATCCTCCTCCCTCGCTCTCGTCCTTGCAGCGAGCTCATACGCTCCCTCGACCTCATGTTTCGCCTTTCCTAACTCGCTAAGAGCGTTGGCGAGTTCAGTCGTACGTCCCAGGAGAGTTTCTTCCGTGAGAGTGAGTTTGTCGGATAGACGACGGAGGGCAAGGGTCAGTTCGGGGACTTGGAGTGAGGCGGGGTGAGGAGAGATGTCTGGGTGGGTATGAAGAGCTGCGAGTTCTTCCCGGAGGGCATGATTCTCGCGTTCGAGGGACTGACAGCGTTCTAGCGCGAAGGTAGAGTCGAGCGAATGCCGCTGCAGCTTGAGGGCCGAACTATGGGCTTCATGCTGTAGAAGCAATGCGTAAAAGTATGTAAATTAAAGCCACCGAGGACAAGAAACATGGTCAGCTCGTTGAAATTGCACGTGGATTGTGAGTATAGCATGATGCAGGGCTACATATGCGCACCTGGAAACGCGAGACTGCTGCTCGGAGACTGGATAACTCGAGCGCGAGCGGATGATCATCGTTTATTTCGAGCTCTGACACGCCCGCCATCGCGGTGCAACGACTTCGTCGGAGTCGTGTGTAACAACGAGCGCGCTGACAAGGTAGATGGCGGTAAAGTCCACGCTTTCGTGATCATGGCCAGCTCACGGAGAAGACGCGCTTGCCACGTTCATAATCCAAATAAATAAGCAGAACCCCTAAATAAATTACGGTAAAGGGGTTAGCGGAATCATGTTGAAAAAATATCGTAGAGGTTATCTGGCCTTGTACAAACCCACCATCGTAGACTCCTTTGCGAAAAAGCTGTCATCTCCAATGCTTGCAAAGTCAGCCCGTAGAACTTTACCTATACCAAGGTGGGCGATGCAGACCAGACCGTTATCACACCGACTCCTTTTAGACTGGAAATCCCTCCGAGCACCCCGCCCTATTCACTTTCATAACCAGCTGGTACTCAGTATATTCTCGTGTCAATGAAGCTGACACTGCTGTTGCCACTCGGCGCCTCGACAAATCCCCTGAGCCAAAGAAACTACAACCCTACCGCTCAGATCGCTTCGAGTGGTCGGCCTCTCGTGAGCGCAGAACCTCTTGGTCCAAATGTCACTCGGCGCCTTCTTCTCGACCTGGGTGTGGTGGGCTCAATTGCAAGCTCAGTGCTCAGCGCTCGACGTCTTATTGACCAGTGAACACTTACTCTCTGACCTCCTTGTGATGCGTCAAACGCGCTGTTCACATCTCGGGGTCTGTGGCATCCATCATGCATCCAGCGCCCTGCCCTTATCCTCGAGTGTACGACATTCAGGGTAGTATGCCCGATGCCGAGGCGTTCGCCGTCGTTACTGTCCGAGTACAACCAACTGCCTGGGGATTGCAGGAACTTCAACAAGGCGTTGACGATACAGTGGGGACTATGCTCTCAGTGCCCAACGTTTTATTCCTTCGGATTTCCTTGTCATTTGGATGCATCGATGATGTCTGCTGCTTATCTCTACTCAATGACTTCTGCGCTTTTCCCCAGACGGCGTAGTGGGTAGTACAAGTAGTTAGCGCAGGACGTTCTATCACCGCCCCCTGATGTGAAGTCCCTCCGAGCAGCCCACACTCTTGTGTGTGTGTGTCCTTCAGCAGGTCTGTACGCACTTCAGTCGAGCACATCCATCTCATCACAGACGCGCATCCAGCTACGAGGTCAGCTCTTGAGCGCTCGAAGGCTTCCAAGTGCGGTTTCGGCTCAGAGTAGGCCGGGAACCAACCAAATCACTGCTGTCCCTAGGCCTATCTACTCTTTTCAACTATGTAAGTCAAGTATTCGGGGGTATATATACTGAGAAGTTGACCGTGCTACTTTTCATTCTCATCTACCCATTCACATCTCAATCGACCATCCTCTCCTACTAATCACTCATCTTCTCTTACACCGTTCGTCTTAACCGCATCCCATCCCAACACAACATGTCTAAAGGTCTCGTCCTCGTCACCGGAGTCACTGGGTACGTCCCTATAATACCTTTTACACCGTCCTATTCACCACGTATCGATATTAACTTCATAACTCTTTATTCAGCTTCGTAGGCACCGCCGTCGCGCTAGCCTACTTCGAAGCAGGCTACACCGTCCGCGGCACCTGTCGCTCGCAATCCAAAGCCGAAGAATGGATCTCCCTGTTCCCACAATACAAGTCCAAATTCGAGTACGCCATCGTCGAGGATATAGCCGTTCCGGGTTGTTTCGACGAGGCGGTGAAGGGTGTGGAGATTATTGCGCATACGGCTTCGCCTTTCACTTATGATATCAAGGTGGGTTGTTATTCGAGTCCCTTTGCTGTGGTATACGTTGGCAGTGCTGACGCAAAACAACACATAGGACAACGAAAAAGACCTGCTCCTCCCTGCCATCGCCGGCACCCACAACCTCCTCTCCGCCACCTCCCTCTCACCCACTCTGAAACGCATAGTCCTCACCTCCTCCTTCGCCTCCGTCTTCGACTTCGCCACCTTCCCGGCCATGGGAAAGACGTACACCGACGACGTCTGGAACCCGGCGACGTACGAGGAGGCGAAGACGCATGCGCATCCGGGGTATGTGTATTGTGCGTCGAAGGTGTTGGCGGAGCGGACGTTTTGGGAGTGGATCGAGAGGGAGAGGCCGGGGTGGGAGGGCAGTGTCGTTTGTCCGCCGTATGTCGTTTTTTCTCCCTCATTCGGTTTCGTCTTCTTGGGTCGGTCCATGGGAGGTACTTATTGAACCGTTACTTATGATCGTCTAATATCCCGCTCAGAAACATCTACGGCCCACCCCGGCAACCCCTCTCCTCCCTCAGCTCCCTCAACACCTCCACAAAAGACGTGTGGAATATCATGAGCGGCGCGTACAAAGAAGGGCTCCCGCCGACTGCGATGCCGGCGTTCGTGGACGTAAGGGATGTCGCGCTCGCGCATGTGAGGGCGACGGAGAGGGAGGAGGCGAAGGGACAAAGGTATTTGTTGATTGGAGGTGTTTATGTGAGTTTATTTTCATTTTATTTTATTATCCCTAGGCTCTCCGAAGGTGATTTTTGCTGACCATCATTTCACGATTGAATCAGACAAACGAAGAGATCGCGAGCATAATCGCACAGAGTCACCCCGAGCTCAATGACAGGCTGCCCAAGGTCGACGACGCTTCCAAGGTCAACCATGACTTATTGTACGACTCTTCGAAGGCGCAGGAGCAACTTGGAATTCAGTTCATTCCGCTGGAAAAGTGCATTAGGGATACGGCGGATAGGTTGGTGCAGATCGAGAAGGATCTGAAGCATTAAGTACTTGAGTACTGAGGAGGAGGGTTGGAGTTTCTCGAGGGTCCTGGGCTGGAGCTGTGTTGGATTATGTTAGATTATGGACGAATATTGATGTCGGGTGCTTCGTCGACTATACTATAGATTTATTTTAATGACTGTTGACTTCTGAACGAGAGGTTTTTACAGCTTTTTTTTTTGTCTTCAGGGAGGAAGTTCATAGAAGGGGAATGCTTAGGAAAGGGGCATTATAGTATAGGTTATGCCAAAATTAAAGTGTCAGACTGAGAGCAGAGCTTCCACCGTATCGCCAACGCCGTTCGTTGAGGTTCCTGCGTTGCTACAATTATGATACTACAAAAACCGGATAGTAGTATCAACTCTGCGACGGAGCTGTCGCCATACCACCACTTTCACCACGCGGCCATGAGATGAAGCACACCCCCAAACCCCTGGTTCAACACAGTTTACCGTCGGATGCGGCTAAAATTTACAGGTCCCTGCACAGATACACCAACGACGAGAACAGAAAGACGAGGAACGTTTCTACTGACGATGCTTGACTCGAGAGCAGGAGGGCGATGCGCCACAAGTTCTCACGGTGAGGAGTACGCGTACGTTACGTAATAAGGTGGCCTGCACCACGGCCGAGGCGGCCTGCCCAACGCTGCTCACTCGATGTCCCAGTGCTCTCCATAACCCGTCCTCGACGCCGACGACGATGACAGCCTCCTTCGCGGCCTATGCGTCGCAATTTCTAAATCGCCAGAAGAACGGTGGATCGAGTCTGACCTCGTCACAACCCATGTTCTTCTCCTTCACCACACAGGACGACGGCTCGCGTGCGGGGAACGAGCACGATGCGGACCTGGATGATCTTGATGACCCGCATCTGAGAGCGAGCGGGGCGACGACGAGCAGAGGAGATCAGTCGAGACGATATGAGAGAGACGACGACGACGACCCGTACCTACGACTAGACGAGGACGAACTCGCACCGGCGCCAGGGGCCTCGAGGTCACGATACGATGCACACTCGATCCCTCTTCTACAGTCCAACACTCTCTCGGACACCGAGCCCAGCAGAGGCTGGCTTGCACACCAGTCGTCCCCGCTGCGCTCGCCGTCGCCGCCGACGTCGTCGTCTGAATCAGAGCCAGACTCACCGCCAGCCGACCTAGTGAACCCCGGACTGGGCAAGAGCCATCGTGCTCATCCTGTGCCGCCACCGCCGCCAGTGTCGCTCTCACTGACACAGTCGCTGCTGCCGAGAGACGGACGGACACGACCGCTCGATGTTTTCTCTTTGCCCGATCCACGGCATGTCGCCCGAGGGAGACGGAAGTACAATGACTCGATATGGACCGCCGTCTACTGTGCCAGCCTCTCCCTCTGCATCTTCTTCTCCGTCCTCATCCTCTTCTTGACAAACAAACCTCAGAACTATCCCTCCAAATTTCCTTTTCCGTACACAACATTGTTGCATACCGTTCCGCTGCTTACGATCCTCACCTTCGTTAGCGCCGTGGTGGCGTACGCTCATATCTTGCTCCTACGAGTCTTCGTAAAGCCCGTCGTCTTTGCTACTTCCGTCTTCGTTCCTGCTACTCTCTTCATTTCCGCAATATGTGCATTCGTGGGGAGCTTCATGTGGGATGGCGATACGACACCCACTTGGGGAGAGACATGGGGGTGCGTAACCGTCTTATCGTCCGTCGCCACACTTCTCTAACTTTTTGTGTAGTCTCCGTCTCTTCTCCCTCGTCCCCTTAGTTCTATCTCTTCTCACCGCCCGCCGTCTCGTCAATCTCCCACGAGACATTCACACAACATCCGCCCTTCTAACAATGGCCACCGACCTGCTCTACATCAACCCCTTTCTCCTCGCACTCTCACCCGCAGTCCTCCTTTCCGCCCTTCTCATCTCGATACCTTTCCTCACGCTCATCTTCCGTCTGCTCCTTGTCGGGCACTTGACATCTCGAGGGGGTCAGGGCGAGTGGCAGATCGAAGGATGGGCAGATTGGGCGATCTGTGCCGTCGTGGCGGTATGGCTGTGGACATGGGGACTCGCAAGGGGATTACTACGCGTATCGACCTCCGGCGTCATCGCAGCATGGTACTTTTCCGAGTACGTCCCCTTCTCATCTTCTCTCCCCGTTACCCCAGCTCACTCTGTAATCTGCGCACGTAGCCCCGACCTCCCACCTCCCCCGCCCACATCAACACACACCATCCACGCCGCCCTCTTCCGCGCCACACACTCCTCCCTCGGCTCCATAATCCTCTCCTCCCTAATCCTCACCTCCCTCCGCATCCTCGCCTTCGCCTCCCTCTTCCTCCGCACCGTCCCCTCCTACCTCTTCACCGTCCTCCCCATCCCGCTTCCATTGCGGCCGTATGCGACGACAGCGGTCTGGGGCGCGGGGATGGCGGCGGGCTGGTTGGAAGGCGTGGGCGGGAATTTGAGCGGGTATGCGTTGGTTTATGTGGGGATTACGGGGGACGGGTTTTGGATTGGAGCGAGGAGGGGGAGGGAGTTGGTTAGGAGTGTGGAGAGTGGGGGTGCGAATGCGAGGGGGGCTGGAGGAGGGGGGAGGTATGGGAGGAAGTTCAAGACTGAACGTGCGTCGCTTTCTCACTCCCTCTAACTGACTACTGTAATACTCACAATCATGCGCCCATACCGAAACAGCCCCCCTCACACTCCTAACCATCGCCCCCCTAACACTCACCTTCCCCTTCGCCCTCTCCACCTACCTCTTCGTCGCACACACCCTCTCCGCACCACAACAGGCCCTGGGCGCGTCCGTGCTCGCGGGCGGCGTGACCGCGCTCGTGGGCTTGTTCTGTGTGGGGCTGGTGAGGGATGTGGCGGATACGCTGTGGGTTTGTTATTGTATTGATAGGGAGAGTGGGGGTGGGAGAGGGGAGAGGGGGAGGGTCGTGCTTGAGATGGTGAGTTTTTTTGTTTTTACTTTTTTTTTTTACTGTTGTTTTGTGTGGATGCTGATCGCGCTGGCTGGTCTCTTAGTTCGAATACGACGCTCGACGAACTAACACTAACACTTCCCGCTCCGCACCACCCCACCAACACCAACACCAACATCCCCACACCCACACCCACACCCGCGCCCGACCCTCACACGCACAGTCTTCGTCCTCACGTCGCCAACAACAACAACAACAACAACAGCGTCATCAGCCCCCGGTCCCGAAACCCAACCAGCCCATCTCACAGCGCGTGAACGAGCATATGACGAGTCCGGAGTCGTCGCCTGAGTTGGGGGATAGTGTCGAGTTGCCTCTGGGGATAGGCGAAGATGTAGGTGGAAGGGGAGGAGGGGCGGTGGTGTTTGATGAGCGGGAGGAGGAGGAGGAGGAGGAGGAAAGGAGGGAGAAAGTTGGGAGAGGGTCGGGAGCTGGAGTGGGAGTGGGAGGAGGAACAGGCGGAGGGAGAAGAGAGGATGAGGGAGATGAGGGAGATGTGGATCCGTTTATGAGGGATATGGATGATGAGGAGGGTGGGGACGATCGTCTGCAACATTCGCATTCGCATTCACATTCACATTCTCGGCATTCGCATCAACACCAGGATGAGGAAGATAGAGGGTACGGAGAGTACGATGATAGCGACGAGGAGGACGCAGCAGCAGAGGAGGAGGAACAGGAGAGGTTACGGATGGACCTCGCCTGCGGACGTCCTCATCCTCATCCTCATCCTTCACAAAGCCAGGCCCAGTATCAATACGGACAGGGAAGCAGGAGCGGAGTGATAGGGATAGGGATGGGGACAGGGATGGGCGCGAGTCAGAGTGGGACGATGGGGACGAGCAGTATGAGGCGGGCGAGGGACGAGGAGGAGGGGATTGGTATGGGTGCGAGTACGGGTACGGGCTCGGGGATTGGGGCGGGGGGGTTGTCGGGGTTGTTCCCTGGTTCGGATCTGTTCTGAGCTCGGATTACTTTTTGACGATGATGCACGATGATGTCTGTGCGTTGGAGGAGAGTGGGCGGTTGCTTGTATATATATTAGGTTGTGTTTTCCCCTATGGCAGAGTAGGATCAGGGGCGAGAGGCGAGGCGAGGCGACAGAGAGGGAGGGGTGTTTCTCTTTGGTGACCGCACGGTTTCATAGATTTTCCTCTTTTTTGCATGACCTGGTACGTACTTACTACTTACTTACGATCTGATCTGTAATATATTTGTTGTGCTCTGTGTATTGCACGTTCGACATTCGTTATGGTTTTTATTTATCATCTTCCCAGTTGTCCTTCTGAACGGCGTCTTCCATCTGTGTCCCATTGCATACCGTGGGGCTACCAAAGAGGTGTGGGCGGTCATGACTCATGACGAACTGCAGTCGACGGGTCCGAGCCTGTCGCGTCCTGCCATCGCGTCGATTTCCACTACACCCATTTTTTGTTCAGGTTGAGGGAGTCAAGTCGTTAGGAGAGGCATTGTGTATCCGACAACAAATGAGATCCCCTCTGCTGTACAGGCATAGTATGCATGCCTCAACGTTCACAGTGTAACGCAGACCCTTCCGCACTACGATTTGTAGACTTTTGCTCTCGAAGGTGAGCACCTCTGGGTTGTTCGATTTCGATGTCAGCCTTTGGAGACTAGCCTAGTAGAATTGCGCAGGCCACTCTCTTAAATAACGTAAGTACGCACACTCCCGCCTTTCTACTCGACTCAACCACTCTGCTCCCCCTCCCTCTTATGCCCTCCCCCAAACTCCACCTTTCCCTTCCCCTTCACACCATCCTCAATATTTTCCGTACTATCCCCCGACTTGCCCGACTCCTCCGATAACGCCAACACATCGTCCACCTCAGAACTCGTACTCGACCCACCCTCAAACGTCCAACTTCCCGCCGTTGGCGTCGTCTCGCCGTCCGCACTATGAAAATCGCCAAAATCGCCGAAGTTGTCGAAGGAGGCGGCGCCTTGGACGTCTTCGCCGGAGAGATTGGAGGGGAAGGTGAATGGGTCGGAGCCTGAGGCGGCGGCGGCGGCGGTGTCCGAGAAGGGTCCGAATGCGTCGTCCTGTTGGGTGTGCAGTGTGCAATGAACGTAGTGCATTAGACGCATATATCCAGAGTACTTAGGAGCGAGGTGTGAAGACGGTGAACTTAAACTTACTTCGTCATCCGCAAATGGATCATGGAACGGACTTCGCGAGGAAGTGTCTCCAGGTGGCCGGAAAGCGTCCTATTACCCAGTAGGGCAATGTCAACTGCGCGTCGCACGAACGATGAGAGATTTTTGGCGGGAGCACATACATCAAATCCACTTTCACTCAGCGGTCTTCGTTCTAATCGCGGCCGAGTCGACACTGGTGGCGGCCTGTCCAGCTCAAAATTTGATTGAGAAAGCCATCCCCCGTCCTCGTCATCCGAAGCGTCTGACGATGACGAAGAGCCACCAAACTCGTCTGGCGAGTGCATCTCCTGTGCCAGGTACCTCGCGAACTGGAATTCATGGTTCTAGAGTGTTAGAGAGGGCATTTACATCAAACATGATGGACAGGTGAGTACTCACGGTCGGATGACCAGCGGGACTGAAATCCTCGTCGTCCTCTTCTATTGGCGCCGGTCCAAAATCCGCACTGTTCTCCCTCGTAGGTCTCGCCCCCGTTGCCCTTCTAAACTCGCCCTGCATGTCCTCCTCCACAGTGCTCCCACCACCACCGCCGCCACCACCACCACCCGCACCGCCACCCGCACCCCCACTCGTATCCTCCTCGTCTACCTTCCATTGACTACTCCCCGGTCGACTCGATCCCGCCGAAACCACAGGCTTCCCGCCACCCAAAAGTGCCTGGTCCCGTTTCTTGGTCTCGTTGTATCGTCCGGTGACATACTCGTCCCAGTCAGGTTGAGGTGCGAATTTGGCGATGATCAGTCGGAGGTCGGGCGGGAAGTGTTCGAGAGCGGTGATCACGTCTTCGGAGATGAGGGTGAGGTGGCCCATGTAGCCTAGGCGGACACCTTTCGGTTTTGCGCTACAGATGAATGAATATACGGTTAGATTGACAACGACGGGATAAATGTTGGAGACGCACCTTTCGGCATCGTTCCGTCTCTGACCTTCTACTATCCGGCTCATGAGCTTCGCGTCCTCGAAGAGCGAGATCGTAAGAGCACGGTTGACACCCGCGTCAACTCGTCCCGTAAGTATCTGGTGGATCAGGTCATATACGACACTATGCAGGAAATTATTCCACGGGAACTCGAAGAACAGATCCTATACCATTCATCAGCACTGGCCACTCAAAAAAAGAAAGAGATGTTGAATGAATCGAACGAGCTTACCAACAACGTCCCAATGACGCCCACATCCAGAAACCTCTGCTTAATCCTCTCCCCGACCGGCGCCGGCACATCCCCGTCCAACTCTTTCACATCCTGCACCGTCAACCTCCTCGAACTCCGTCTCGAAGCCCTCGACTGTCGCCCCTTTGTCGACCCCGAATCTGACCCCAAACTCGCGCTCGATCTTCTTCTCGGCCCTAGGATAGGGGGAACGATCTCCGTGGCTGGAGAGAGTGTGACTGGGGAGAGGGAGGTGGGGGCGTCGGTGAATGGGATGGGGATGGGTGAGGAGGAATGGGAGGGTGAGGAGGTGATGAAGACTGGCGGGAAATCGACTGGAGAGCGAATGTGGATCGGGGAGGGAGGGCCAGAGTTGGATCCACTGCCGCCGCCGCCACTACCACCACTACTAGCGGTTGCACTGGGACTACCTCTACTAGAAGGCCTTGGTGGATCGTCTTCCATAGCGATATCCTCCATAGCATCGTCATCATCAGAACTATTCGGCTCATCTCCATCGCTCATGTCGTCGTCCGAATCGAGTAGGGAGGACGAGTCGTGCGAAGCACCGTGTACCGGTAGTTCCATCGCGGGCTCAATCTCGTCGGCGTCTTCGTCCATTATGTCTTGGTCTCTATCTTCACCCGCATTCATGGAAATGATACGAGCCAGATCTTCCAGAGCAGAGAGACCGCCTTGCAGTCGACCTTCAGAGTCGTACAGGTAGTTGTATTCGGCTGGTCGGTTGAGGAGGGACATGCTAGAGCAGTGCAAAAGCTCAGCGTAGAGCTCGCAGATGCGGTATCGTTCGAAGGTGAGGGGTGTGATGCTTCCAAGTGTCGTCGAGACGGGTCCAGTCTACGGCGTAAATCAGGACCGTCACTGGTAGAAATGCAAACACAGTGGGCATTCGTGCACTCACCAACGATCTCGGCGCTTTGAGGTACTTATGCACCTGGTCTAGCCGGTCACAGAATATCTCTAGCACAGGTCCAAGATGGACCACGCCCATTCGATCCACCATCTCCCTCATCGACCTTTCCAGCGTTTCTCGGCTTTCCTCTGCGGTGGGGGGCTGTAGTTGCTGCTGAATCTGTATAAGCCTATTACGGAGTGTGTGGAATAAATACGGCTCGAAGTAGTCGGAATTGTTCTGGCGGATGAGTTCTATGATGATGCATATCGAGTTGACGACCGAGGATGTCGATGATTCGAGTGACGGGAGGACATCCTGAGGGTCGTGATCTGATTCGTCGTCTTCCTTCATCCCCTCATCCTCCTCCTCCTCCTTATCCTTGCCCTTCACATCTTTCTGCTTAGTCTCTACGCTCCTTGCGGGCGCACCGCCACCCTCCTTATCCTTATCCTCCACCTTCTGAACCCCCGAAAAATCATCCAAGATGTACTCCACCAGAGTCTGCACATTATCCCTCTGCGCCAACTCCCTCGCAAAACGATTGCTCGCCGGCCCATTCGACAATCCTTCCGTGAGTCCCGCGCCAGGAGAAGGCGCAGCCATGGAGATTATGTTCTTGATGAGTTCTGCGACGACGGTGTGCATGTCGGGGGAATAAGATGGAGATAGACGACCGATGAGGCGGGCCATGAGGTTTTCTTTTGCGAGCCACTAGGGGGCTGGGTATAAGAGGAGCCACATCGAAAGTACAACACAGGAGAGTAGAGAGGGAGTCGGTTGAGAGGGAAGGGGCAGGGCGGGAAGAGATGGAACGAAGTGGAGAGACATACCTCTAGGACACCAGCACCGGCAGGTTGTTCGTCAAGTTGAATGATGCGCAAGAGGAGGTCCGAGAAGGCTGGTGTTTCGATGTGCTGCAGCAGTCTTTCCACGACTGACGGCTGTGACCAGATAAACTCGAGCATCTACAAATACATCAGACAGGGACAAAGAGAGCCCAAGAGATTTTAGAGAAGGTTAAGTTAAATGAAAACGGGACGAGAAGGGTGTGCAAACCTCTGCCGGTTTCTTGGTGAGGAAGACTGCATTGATCTTGGCAAAATGTGTGGCCATCACCATCTCTGTCTTCATGTCTTCCGCAGACCTGTCGAGCACCGTCTCCCAGAAAGGCACCATGAGCTGCTCGGTATTGTTGAAGCAAGTCTCGACGATGGACCATATCTCGCTGCACAGAATCTCCGTCGCAACATACGGGTATCTTCATCCCCACAGCAAACCTAGGTCAGCATCCCCTCGCAGTTCACAGTGCAAAAGTCAGATGATTAACACGCACTTATACCTTCCCTGCTCCTCAGACTCAATCTGTCCCGTAACATGTCCAATCAACCTCTTCAACACATCCACTCTCTGAAAATAATCGATGAGCCTCGTATTCTGCGCCTTGCACTCCTGCAGCACGTCTTCCTCGTCCATGATAGCTTCGAGCGAGACATCGTCCTTGTCGAGCAGGGAGTCTATCGAAGACCCGTTATGAAACCCGAACCTGCAACACAAAGACGCAAAGTATAAATGAATAAACAGTATCGCGAGCACGCGACGTGTTGAGACGAGTTTAGCGCTTAATTCCTCCCCAACCGAACGGATTGACGAATTAGGGGAAGTGGGGATTGAGCTTTGCATACCTCCAGAACATGACGAGAGCTCTAAATTCCGTTTAAGTGATTTACAGAGAGGGTATTGGTATTGACAAGAAGTAGAGCATAAGTAGGTTAGGTTATGGAGGACGTAGTGCGCGAGCAGAGTGATTCTGAAGTCAGACCGCTGTTGGTTGTGTGTGGCGAACTGCTCGGCGGATACATCCGTGGGTGGGTGGCGAACCACTCAGTCAAAGCGTATTTTGGAGCGAAATCATACATGGAGGCAGCTCATATCGTTCGTATGTATGTATAGACTTGTAGATACCGTCAACGATGGCTGAAGACAACTAAATATCCAATACTAAAATATGTCCAAAAGTATACAGGTAGGTACATAGGGCAAATGTTCCAGCAGACAGAGAACCATCGACAGAAGAATGAACATGCACCAAATTCTCAGAACTACGATCAAAGCACTCGTCAGCATATGCAAGCCACAATGACCGCAATCAGTGAAAAGAGTGCTCACCCGGATCTGATACGACCCACTAGCCTTCGTCAAGTACCTCACCCACTTGATACTATGGTAATTGCTCTTCTCAAACACCTTCAAGAATCTCACAATCAATCCTGACGACGTGAACATCAAAACCTGGAAATCGACGTCGATGGGCGGACGAGCCCAGACTTGTCTTCGTGTCGTGCTCGTGAGTTCTGCTGTGGCGCTGAAGGTGCATTCTTGACCGCCTTGTATCCTTTGCATCCTGCCAGACCCAGCAAACCACAAAGCATACTATGAGTATTCCATGGAACGGGAGTAGACTGCGGAAGAGAGGCGTACTTCCAAACAACAACATTTTCCCCAGGAACGTACTTTGCCTTTCCGTTCTGGACTTTACAGTCCACGCTCGTCGTGTTCAAGGGCGTAGGTATCCGCAGGACGACGTTGGTGGCGGAGAGCTTGTTGTTGAAGTTCGTTTTCAGGACGACGACGTACGAGACCTGCGTTGTTCCGATCTCGTTCACCGTCGCAATGATCTTCAACGGAAGCTTGACGTTTGAAGTCGCTCGATACCTGTACCCAACCACATCACACACCCTCAGTTCGGTAATTAAACGGAAAGCGGATGGGATATGGTCGCATGACAGAGAAATATGCGGGAAGATGAAAAAGAAGAATGGGGGAAAACACGCACGTCATGAGCTCAAACTCCCCATCCGGCGGAATAAAGCTGATAGTCCTCGTCGAGTCAAACTCGTTCAACCTCACACACTGATGGAACCGACAATCATCCAGCTCGACGGCGTCGATCGTCCCCTTCTCGCTCTTGTCGATCACGAGCTTGTCGTTCAGGCCAAATTTACATTCTGGGGTTCCAGTGAGGTAGGCGCGCATGACAATGTGTCCATCGACGTCCGCGCGGAGGACGGTTCCTACATGAATTTATAGAGTAGGTAAATACGGCGCTGTTGTAAAGATAGAAGGCGACGGGACGGACCTTTCGCACTCATGCTGAGGTTGACTGTCTCCACCACATCGACGAACGCCTCGTTCTTCTTGTATTTGACATCACCTCTCCTCCAACTCGTCGCGCCAGTCGCTTGTGACGTGATCTTCGAGGACTCTTCCTACACGCCCCATCCCATCACGACCCAGCAGATGTACTCCATTAGCACCTACCCTGACTGAGAAAACGCAAAGGGACTCACAGCAGCAATCTGGGACGAAATCACGCTCTCTGTCGTAATGTAACTCTTCAGGGTATCGATCTCGCTGTTCTGGGGGTATCCAAAGTCGTTGATTTCTATAGCGCATGAACCAACAACCACGTATCATCAAACCACATAGAAATACATGAAGTGTCATGATGTCAGCCTTGGATATATGAAGCAAGGAAGGAGGGGTGCGCACCATCAATCAACTCATATATAAGCACAAAATTATTCTTCACGGACTCCTCGTCTACCTTGCCGAAGTAGGATTTGCAGATCGAGATGACGCGGTAGCAGAATTCGAACACCAGCGCTGCATTCGCGTTATTCCTATGAACCATATCCATAGCAAGTGTATTAGGCTCAGCATGCGATACCATTTCTAGAGGATCAGAGGAGCGCACTTCGTTACGGCGACGAGGTAAAGGTTGTTTATCCTAACGTGGAAGAAACTTGTCGAGCCGAGTGTGATTATGGGAGACCGGACGTCGCTGCTGGAGATCACTTGGATGCGAAAGACGTCGGATATTGATCGACTACACGACGATCATGAACCGGTCAGTCACACAGATACACGACAACGACGCAGGGTACAAGGTATGAGATAGTGCTGACCGTACGTCTGGGCGATAAAGACGCGAGATGAGGACCTAAGCATCGTTCGAAGAAGAGGATAGGGCCACAGATTGAGCTTCAGTTACCCCAGACCATGGGTATGACGGAGACGTACTTCGCCCTTCTGGTTGAAGATAAAGAATGCCTGTCGGGCAAAAACCATTAGACATTATGTCTCAGTAACTGGAGAGATACCCTACCGAGATCATTATTGCTGTTAGCAATGCGAGTCGTACGTTGGTGGCAGCAGTGAAGTGGAGGTCGGTCAACCACCTCCATTTACGCGCCGAGCACTCTGTAATGGTTCGACTACATGCGGTATGTTTTACCCACGCCTGACAGTTGATCGGCCCCAGGCCATGCGCCGCCTGGCCGCACCAACTCCCATGTCACAACAGAGTATCTCTCAGCGTTGTCGAAGGCTCGCGGTGCTCGCAGACGACAGATCGTCGTGCTCTGATGCTCGCCACAGTCGAAACTTCACTCACAGACCACAGAAATCCGTTGCCTGATGCATGCCACAGTTAGACGGTCCCTCGCTCTCAGCGTTGTCGAAGGCTCGCGGTGCTCGCAGACAGATCGTCGTGCTCAGACGCTCGCCACAGTCGAAAACTTAGCTCACAGACCAAAGACATCCGTTGGGCTTGCGGTCCATCCACCCATTTGCGGCATTGTCAGACACTGGTTTTTATACCATGTCACAACAGAGTATTGACTTTGGCTCTAGAGAAAAACTAGCTTGCCAGAGGTGCCCTTGGGCAATTAATAGCTCATTGTTAAGATTTTTCTGTCATCTTTGCGAGTGTTGTTGGTGTCGTCCGATGTTGCCCGAGACATCCCGAGTCACTCCGGTCCTCACCGTACTCACCGGCCGCCACACAGTTCTTTCAAGGTGGCGTAATTGTGTTGTCATCCTCCAAGACCCACGATTATGGGTGTACACACCATTGAACATATATCGTTCTCAGCGTCCTCCGAATACAAGGTACGCTTGCAAGTATTGCGAGACCCTCATTTCAGCGTGCGATGCTATCATCGACGTCTTCCTCAACAATCTTTGGGATCTGGAGAAAGTCCAGATCCGCTTTCTTCGTCGCCTGCTCCATCTTAGGCGACGGAGCATGTACCATGTTTTATTCTCAGAGACTGGGCTCATGCCTCTCCGCTTTCGACGCCTCATCCTCGCCCTTCGTTACCTCCGATATCTCATACTGCTCCAACCACGTCACTATGCTCGGTGCGCTTTCGAAGACTCCTTGGACCTCGCGCGGACCGGAAGGAGTGGTTGGGTCGGCGACCTGGCCATCGCTCTCGGGCGCTTAGAACACCCGGTTCACTTCGACTTCATGGCCGATGTCACCGTAGATGTTGTTGACCGGCTGACTGAAGAGGTGGAGGCCTCCAGCGAGCTGTGGGTCCGCTCCATTCTCAACAGCTCTCCCAAAACGTGGCTCCTAAGGGATCGCGTGGAGATTAAGAAGAATGGATCCACGGATGCCAGCGCAATTCTTTTCCGCCACTATCTCCGCATTCCTGTCCCCTCTCATCGATTCGCCTTCACCGACATTGTACTGTCGAATCATTCCTTGGCGGTCGAGATGCTTCGTTGGAAGTCTCGGGAACGACCTTACGAAGTGCCAAGGCAGTGGCGTCTCTGTCGATTCTGTATACAGTTGGGTGTTCAGTGTGTAGAGGACGAGACCCATGCACTTTTGCAGTGTGTCTCGAACGAGGAATTACGCGACCACCGGGCTGCATTTTGGGACGAGCCGGTCGTGCGTGCCTCGGGTGTCAGACACCGTGCGGACTTGTGGGAGGATTCGCAGAAGTTGAGGTTCATGGTTCTTAGACCGGAGCTCGCGGGCGTGCTAGGGAGGCTTTGCAGTAATGTGTTACGAGTGTTCGAGAGGACTCCCCTTTTTGTACCGCCAAGAGCGTTGACAGAGGAGATCGAGTCGGAGTAGCAGTAACCTTGTCTTTGAGAATTTTTCCCCAGGTTCTGGATCCCGTGAGAGGCCTGATATCTCTCGTAGATAGTTATGTATCAGGGCATATTGTAGGTATCACAGCGGTAAAGGTTCCCTGGTGGATTCCGTAAGTAGTGTAACGGTACTTATGTTGCTACGGATAGGGGTATTGGTCCTCATGGGCCCGTTTTGTACCCTGAATATAACTTCCTTCCTTCCTTCCTTCCCATGAGTGACTATATTACCTTTGTATAACGGAGATGGCGCGGTTTCGTTTGTATGTGTTTGTTCTCACCTCCTCTCTGTCAGACGGGGTCGCTTTCACTCTCATGCGCTCGCGTTTGTGTAGGAATTTCGCATTTTTGCCACATTTCGTGCCATTTCGAGCGAGATCGTGAGTTTGGAACTCCGCCCGTGTGAACGTCTGTACTTTCTCACGGCTTTCAATGGCCTCCCTCCTATCTTCAGCCTGCTTTTACTTCCGCGATTGTAGTCTCGATGCGACGATTTCTCTCACGCAGTTTCATGAGCTTGCATTTGCGAAGGAATTTTATTTTTTTCACCCCTTTATGAACGCGATCCAGAGTTTGGAACTCCGCCGGCGTGGACTTTTGGACTCTAGATCTCTCACGGCCTTGAATGAGTTTCCTCCTAGGTCTTCAGCCTGTTTTTACTTCCGTGCTTTTAGTCTCAATGATCCTGTTTCCTCGATGTTTTGTTTTTCCCGTTCATGAGCGACCCGATAAATATTTTATGCACGCCCTGTTTATGTGGTATCTTTGCCCTCCACCCGAGAGTCGTTAACGAAGTAGACGCCACCTGAAAATATATGTCGTATTTCAAATTGGATCCAGTCGGAGCGCAGCTCTGACGAAACTTGTGTCTACACAACCAGGAGGACCTCTGAGTCTAAGAAACTCGAATACTACCTCCCATCTCGGCTCGAGTGATTGGTCTCTCGTGTACGCAAAACCTCTTGGTCCAAATGTCACTCGGTGCCTTCTTCTCGACCTGGGTGTGGTGGGCTCAAGCTCAGGGCTCGATGTTTTCTTGACTAGTGAACACTTATTCTTTAACCCCCTTGTGATTCGTCCAATGCGCTGTTCACATCTCGGGGACTGTGGCACCCATCGTTCTTTCAGCGCCCTGCCCTTATCCCTTATCCTCGAGTGCACGACGTTCATGATACTCATTCCCGATGCCGAGGCGTTCACCGTCGCCCGAGTATACTATATTCGAGGACCGCAGGAACTTCGACGGACGGCGTTGGCGATACCTTGGAAACTTTGATTTCAGTGCTCAACATTTTATTCCTCCTGGTCCTCTTGTCGTTTGGACACATCGATGATTCCTACTGCTTAACTCTATCCGATGACTTCCGCGCTTTTCTGTATCCCCAGACAGAGTAGCAGGTAGTACAAGGAGTTAGCGCAGGACGTTTCATCCCCGCTATCTGATCCTAAGTTCCACCGTTACAGTGCAGCCCACACTCTTGTGTGTTGTGTCCCTTCGGCAGTTCTGCACGCGCGTCGATATCAACATCCATCTCGTCACAGACGCGCACCCACCGATGAGGACCAAGTTCTTCAGCGCTCGAAGGCTCTCGAGGGCGGCGTCGACTCAGATCTGAGAGTAAGACGGGAAATCAAGCACAGCTGTAACTTCCTATCTATCCTTTCAGCCATGTAATGCAAGTGTTCGGGAGGTATATATACTGTGAAATTAGCCGTGCTGCTTTTCATTCTCATCCTATCAACTCACATCTCAATTGACCATCTGAATCCTCTCCCATCTCTAATATATATTCCCTCACACTGTTCGCCCTAACCACATCCCAACACAACATGTCTAAAGGCCTCGTCCTCGTCACCGGTGTCACTGGGTATGTCCTCATCGTCTTCATCGTCCTACTCATCTTCACGATATATCGTTATTGACAATCCCACCCCAATTATTTAGGTTCGTAGGCACCGCCGTCGCCCTAGCCTACCTCGAAGCAGGCTACACTGTCCGCGGCACCTGTCGCTCGCATTCCAAGGCCGAACAATGGATCTCCCTTTTCCCTCGATACAAGTCCAAATTTGAATACGCCGTTGTCGAGGATATAGCTACGCCGGGTTGTTTCGACGATCCAGTGAAGGGTGTAGAGATTATTGCGCATACGGCTTCTCCGTTTACTTATATCATCAAGGTAGGTTGCTCTTCTTCCTCTTCCTTTTTTTCTCAATACCAGTCCCCTTCCTGCTGTGGTATGAGTACGGTGCTAACGCAACACACACAGGACAACGAAAAAGATCTCCTCCTCCCCGCCATCGCCGGCACCCACAACCTCCTCTCCGCCACCTCCCTCTCCATTACTCTAAAACGAGTAGTCCTCACCTCCTCCTTCGCCTCCGTCTTCGATTTTGCTACCTTCCCGGCCAAGGGCAAAACATATACCGATGACGACTGGAACCCGGCGACATACGAGGAGGCGAAGACGCATGCGCATCCGGGATATGTGTATTGCGCGTCGAAGGTGTTGGCGGAGAGGACATTTTGGGAGTGGATTGAGAGGGAGAGGCCGAGGTGGGAGGGGAGTGTTGTTTGTCCGCCGTATGTTGTTTTCTTCCTCATTCGTTTTTCTTCCCGGGCCTTGGGGAAGTCAGAACCTTTATACTCATGTGTTCTATTTATCCCGCTCAGAAACATCTACGGCCCGCCCCATCAACCCCTCACCTCGCTCGACTCCCTCAACACATCCACTCAAGACGTATGGAACATCATGAGCGGCGCCTACAAAGAAGGGCTCCCACCGACTGCGATGCCGGCGTCCGTGGACGTGCGGGATGTCGCGCTCGCGCATGTTAGGGCGTCGGAGAGGGAGGAAGCCAAGGGACAGAGGTATCTGTTGATTGGGGGAGTTTATGTGAGTACTTTTTTTTTTTTTTTTTTTTTTTTTCATTTTCCTCAGACCCTCCGGAGGGTATTTTTTTTTTTTGCTAATCATCACTTTTTACGATCAATCAGACAAATGAAGAAATTGCCAGCATAATCGCTCAGAGTCACCCTGAACTCAGTGACAGGCTGCCCAAGGTCGATGACCTCTCCAAGATAAAGCATGACTTATTGTACAACTCTTCGAAGGCGCAGGAGCAGCTTGGTATTCAGTTCATTCCGCTGGAGAAGTGCATTAAGGATACGGCGGATAAGTTGGTGCAGATTGAGAGGGAGCTGAAGAATTAAGTGCTTAGCAGGAGCGTTGGAGCTTGCTGTTTCTTTTTTTCTTTCTCTTGAGGGCTCTTGGCTGGAGCTAGATCTAGATAGAGATGGTGTGGAATTCAGTTGTATTATGGACGAATATTGGAGTTCCTCGTAGACTATACATGGTTTGAATACACTTGCCCTCCGGGCGCCACCTGGTCCCTCCTATGGGTCGATTAGTGACCACTGCCTTCAGCTGTCCATTAGATTCAAGTTGTATCTTCTGGCCAATTTGGCTTCACGGAATGAAGACGGCGGGCCACTCTCGTGCCAGGGCTTCGCCCAGCCGCTTTGTGGCCCGCCTCTACGCGGGGGCTCCGCCCCGCGCGATGGTCTGCGATCTTCTTTGAAGAGCGTGATAAAATTTACTAGCGCTAGTACTAACGACCCACTCTTCGAACAAGTGGTGGATGCCACGAAATCTTTCAGTGTTGTTTCAGTGGTGAGCTCGCGCTCGGCATGAACTTCAGTGCTAATGTACTTGAGTAAGTACTGTAACACTCCCTGAATCTCGCCACAGCTGAAGGCCACGAGGTGAGAGCACAGTGCCCACTTTTGTGCGCATTGCCATCGTGTCCTTTATATGAAAGAATCTCGACATTCAGAATACGGCGCAGAGAGGCACTCCTAGTGTAAGAGTCCGTCCCAATGGGGCAGGTCGACTGGAATATCGTCGTTTGGGACATTCAATGCGTGGGAAGTAGGTCCTAATGGGGTAGGAGGGGGGTGCAGACGTCGTTAGGTCTTTCGCTCGCGTGGTGGTACATCCCAATGGGGCAGGAGGGGGGTCTTGAGCTCGTCAGGTATTCCAGAGCGTGGGAAGAGTTATCCTAATGTGGTCATTTAAATCATTGCAAGACCTGATCCCTGTAGGGACCAGGAATTTAATAACTCTTCTCCCATTTAAGAGGTCTCTACAGCATTTTTCTTCCTCAAGTAGGAAGTCGGATGGGGATTCTCGAAGGAAATATATACCTCCCCGTTTAAGGTATATTGCTACAAGTGGAATAGAAGGTAATGGCCTGATGGTCTAGTAGTATGATTCCTTCTTCGGGCTCGCACCCGGACAACTTGGTTGTCTTTGATTGGAGGAGGTCCCGGGTTCAATTCCCGGTCAGGCCCTAGAGAGACAAGCCACTGCATCGCTCTCATTTTACTTCGTGAACGGCCCACCAGTGCAGGAAGATGTAGTTGTCGAGTGAGTTCGAGGAAAGAACTTGAGACGATGCCAGTACTAGTGTTAGTGAGAACGGAACGATGTGATTTGTACGCCACAGTCTAGCCGCGAGTTCGAACCTGCCTCTATCCACTCATTTCTTTTTCCCGCCCTCAGCATGTATGTATCTGAGGGGTGCTGAAGTCCCTTCACCGGTTGAAGCCCTGAATGTACCGCAGGACCTACATCTATTCTGCGCGCAGAGTCCTAACAAACTCTATCCTAACCCACTCTGAATTTCCCTCCCTCTCATCCCTCCCTCCTTTCATTCCATCTTCCCCATCCCCGTCCCCTTCACGCCCCTCCTCGCCCTCTGTCTTCCGCTCTTGTCCCTTTAACAACCTCTCCATAGCCCTCTCCACCGCACTATCCGGTCGCGTCTGCTTCCAAATCCCATAATTCACGTTCCAACTCTTATTCGTATTCACACCCTTTTGCCTCTTCCTCTCGTTGAACTCTGCCAATTGTGCGATCTTGTCTTTGATTGTAGCGAGTATGATATCGGGTTCGCCGGATTGTCGGAGGACGACCTGGGGCCAGTAATACCGGGTTGCTGGTTCGATTATTATTTGCGGAGAGGAAGAGGATGAGGTGGGATTTTTTTGGTGCTGGTGAAGAGAGGAGAAGACGTCACGGAGGTGAGAGGGTGTCTTGGAGAAGTCGAAGGTAATGAGGAAACGACAGTCGTAGAGCATGCGGAACTTGGTCCTCTCTTTCGCATCTTCTTCCTCCGCCACCGCGCTATCCTCTGTCCTCCCCTCCTCCGTCTTGACACCGTTGCTGTCGCTATTAACGTCCCCAGCACCGCTCGCTCGTCCCCAAGCCTCCACAAACTCCTCCGTGACATCGTCCGCCAAAGTCCTCTCATTCCTCGGCACCCTCATCTCCACACCTCTCACCACCCCCGTGGAATTCGCTCTCCGCGCCTCCTTCCTCATCGCCTTCCCTCCGCCCTTTGCCTCCTCCTCACTCCCCTCCTCACCCTCCTTCTCTCTCGTCCCCTTCTCTCTCGCTCCATTCTCGTCCTGCCTACTTTTCCCGCCCTCAACTTCCTTTTCGCGTTTCTCCCCGCTCTGATACTTCTGACTCAATTTCCTCCCCTTCGCCTTACTCCCAAGCGGTGCCCTCTCCGGCGGCGCCCTCGTCACCAACCATCCCCACCTCTCCCCCTCCCTATACCTCCCCGCCAACCTCAACAGCCCTCCCTCTCTCACTATCCGCACCGGCGTCCAGAGCACTTTTCCGCCCGCGCTGAACGGGCGATAAGTCTCGAAACCGAAAGGCGATTCTTTTTCTTTCGCATCCTCGGGTTCCCCATTGTCTTTCTTTCCCTTTTCCTTTTCCCTTCCCTTGCCCTTTCCCTTTTCATTCTCTTCTTTTTCTCCATCGCCTTCGAACTGAGAGCCCGACCTCGAAGGATCGAACCCCCAAAGCGCATGCACGATCCTCTCCAGCGAAAGCACGTGTCGTCCTCCGCTCGCCGCCGATGTCCCCCAGGGGTGCGGCGAGACGTAGCGCAGGATGCGGAGGACGAGCGAGAGGGAGACGAGCCGGGGGATGTAGGGCGTTCGGGTGTGGGTTGAGGCGGGGATTTTGAGTTGCGATTTGTAGACGTAGGTTGGTTCGGGTTCGGGTACGGTGACTTCGGATTGGGGTGGGGAAGGTGGGTCGGATGAGGATGGTGATGGGTTTTGGTCGGAGGTTGGGGGAGGGTGAGGGGTCGAGGGTGAAGAATCGGAGGAGTGGTCTGAGAGGCTAGAGGGATCTGCAGAGATAATATCGGGGCTACGGGTAGAATGAGAGTCGGGGCGAGGGATAGAACTGGGGTAAGCATTGGATTCGGGTCTGCTTTTGCGGTGCTGCTGCGCTTTCTTCGGTGCGTGTCGACTCAGATACTCTTCGAACTCGGGATCGAGTGGTGGGAGTGTGTCCGTCGGAAGGAGGAAAGTCGAGACGGGCGAGTCGAGCGTGTGTTGTCGGAGGAATTGATCCGCTACAAGTGATTTTTGTATACAATCAAAAATCGCATTGAATTAGCACCGTGTTCCAAAGGAAAAGGGAGCAATCAAAATAACAAAGACGCGGAAGTGAAGTCTGAACGTGAATGGGAATGGGAAGCGACATACTCTGCATCTCGATATCCTCCACATGTTCCCTGATCGCCATAATCGACCCTTTAAGACTCTCAGGCCCGTCCGCGAGCTCGAGCGGGACCGGATTGTTCTGCCGTGCGTAGCGCGCTTCGAGGTCTTCTCGGACGTGTTCGTACAGTTTGACAGCCGTTTCGGGGGTGAGGACCGAGGGTGTCTAGTGTAGGACGTAGGACGTGGAGATGCGTGAGTGAGCGAGTGGACGAGATGGAGTTTCGCATGGGTGATTACTGGTACTACTTACGGAGGGGTCTATGGACGTTGATTTGATCTCCTCGGTTAGTTGGTCCATGAGTTTTTCGAGGGATAGTTTGTCACGCTGAGTGGAGAATACGTTCGTTGAGAAAGGGTGTTACGAATGATCAAGTCAGACTAGGGAACAAGGTCATACCTCTGATCCGACGAATCGGTCTTCCGAGTCTACCCCGCCGTCACTGTCCGGCTGTCCAGGTCCATGCCAGTCTCAGTCACTCTAAGAATGGACACAGCGAAGCTCAAAATGCACATACCTCTTCCTCGCCGATTTCAATCGGTAGAGGTTCCTAATTTGGCATTAACAAAGGGTCAGACAGCGGTCTGCAAGTCCACAGTGAGAGGACGTGCCAGGAATTGAGGTTCGAGGTCCTTATAATCCTCGACGGCATGCGTCATAAGATGTCGAACGACATTCCTCAAAGTAAGCGACGGCTGAAAATTCGTCTGATCCTCGTACCACTCCAACCCCTCCTCCTCACACGTCGCAACAATCCTATCCTAACACTCATCAGCTTCTCTTCCAGCCCTACTCGCAGAGCGGAATAGTCAAAGGGGCGAGTGAAAAACACACCTTTGGCAGACTCAACAGCGGCCTTACGATGCTCAGCCCCATTCCCATACTCCCCGCCCAACTCAGCGGCCACGCTTTATCGTCCCCCATCCCCCACGTCCTCACGCTCCTCATGCCAGCCAATCCTAACATCGTACTCCCCTTTGACAGCCTCATCAACGCCGTCTCGACCTGATCGTCCGCATGATGGCCCATACAGATCGCACCCGCACCCCCTCTTACCATGCCCTCCAAAAATAAATGGTACCTCGCCTGACGCGCAGATCGTTCTGTGTGGCTCGAAAGGGGATAGTTTGGGAAGGGGCGGGTGCCCCAGAGAATTGGGAGTTCGAGGTGGGGGATGGAGAGGTGGAGTGGGAGGAGTGAGGCAGATTTAGCCATGGTAGAGGCGGAGGATTGGAGGGAGTGGTTTATGTGGAGGGAGATGAGGGATGTAGGGAGTGAAGGGTCTGTGGGACCGGATTCGAAGAGGAGACGATGCCAGAGGAAGAGGAGGCATGTCGAGTCAACACCACCTGAGTTGGCTATGGCTAAGGATGGTTTATGAGATGCCAGAAAATACTGGATCAGAGGAATGGTTGAGATCTTACCCAACCGTCTAGGCCAGCCTGTGCGGGGCACGCAGCGTTTGACATAGAACGCGAACTCTTGGTTGGTGATGGGCAACTTGAACGGTCTCAAGCTAGTCATAAGTCCCTCTCAGGACTCAACTAATATTGATAAATATTCTTTTGAGCACAAAAACAGACAAATGATGAACCATGCAAACCTTCGCCACAGCCCGCAACGTCCAAAGGAGTTTTTGAGATTGCAAATTCCAGCGCCACAAACGCGTCCTTCGCGTCCGTTTATTCTTCCCACGACTCGTTGTTCTCCTCTTTCGAACCATCACCTGCCACGCCCTCTCATCCTATCCCCATCACCCCACTATCCCTACGCACAGACTCTAACAACAGTGCGCACTACAGAGAGACACATAGAGACATACAGGTAATGCCTGCATCCGCCCGAAAATCCAGCCTTGGCGCCAGCGGTGCCGTAGGCCGTCGTGCCAACAAGCCCTACGTCCCCTTCCGCGCAGACGAACGTGGTGTCGGAAAACGCACGGGCCAATACGTCCCTTACATCGAGCACCACTCCGACGAGTTCGAGCCGTTCTCTGAGGTTCTGAATCAGGCGAAGACACCACCGAATAATGTCAAGTCACGGAGGGGAAGAGGTGGCGGAGCGAGTGGGGGGAGGAGCGGGCGTGGAGGGAGAGGAGGCGGAAGGGGAGGTGGACAAGGGAGTGCGAAAGGCAAGGGGAGAGCGAGGGCGGTTGTTAGTGAGGACGAGGACGATGGGGAGATGTCGATGGAGCTCGACGACAGTCCTGGTGAGTGTCGCTTTTTGTTCTCCTGTTTGGTGTTGTTGCGCTCGATGCGTACACTGCTTGCGTAGCCGGAGGTCAGATGGCACCCGGTGCTCCCAGCTCAAGTTGTCATCGTGAGCGAGCTCGAAATGAGATCGATCTTTTCGGCTACAATCCGGCAACGCACAATGTCATACACGGACGACTCCAATACAGGGGGCTCACTTGGGCTCGACCGAGACCAACTATTGATGTCGCCGGAGGATCGAAGCGAGGTCATTCGAGGTCGTTATGGGTCTCGCCGGACATCAAACCTTGGATGTCATAACCACCTCCAGAGTAAAGGGCGTTGTAGTCATCTGGCGTGTAATACACACATATATCGACCTTACTTAAGAGGGATCCAGAAAGCCAAACGCTCCTTCTTTCGACACGCTCTTTTCTACGTATCCTACACCTGCATCGCTGACCTCCCTCTCACTCTCCTTAGTCGTAAACTACACCAACGCCCGCAACCCGCAGCCCCCTTCCTCCATCTCCCGCCTCGGCAACTCCTCCTCTCGCTCCCTCCCCCGACCCTCCGACGGCACAGACTACGACTCCCTCCCCTCCCCGCCCTCCATGCCCCGTTTCCGCAACTCCCAGCAAACACCCACCGGCTCCGGCCGCCGTTCCTCTATATTCCCCAACGGCTCCGCCTCAGCAGCAGGAGCCAGCGTCGTGTCCAGTTTCTCGAGCCCTGGGGTGAACAATATGTCGTATTCGGCCGCGATGCCGGAGATGGATCCGGACGAGGATATGTATGGGACCGGGATGGGAGGGTTCAATGATGGTGGGTTTAGCGACGATGATGACGATGATGATAACACCGAGCAGTTTGAGTCGTTCGATCCGGATAAGTCTAGTAAGTCGGCGAGGTCGAGACAGAGTATGGGTGGGCAGAGTGGTGTGAGTGCGAGTGTGGGGCCGAGCACGACGTCGTCGAGGAGGACCTCGTTCTCGCAGATGGGTCAGGAGGACGACGAGAATGAGGGCGACGAAGAAGAAGGGCAGGAGGAGGAGCAGAGTCAAGAGGACGACCAAGAAGACCAAGCAGAAGCGGAAGCGCGGGCTTTGGCTCAAGCCAACAAGTCGAAGAATAAAGGCAAGAGACGGGCCACGATAGAAGAGATCGAACAGCAACAGGACGACGGTGTAGAAGACGAGATCGAGCAGGGCTTACAGGACGTGGAAATGGATCCCGGCTTCGACGACGACGTCCAGGAGCAGGAGGACATTCCGGAACCGGAACCACAGCCTAAGAGGAAGAGAAAGAAGGAGATGGAGAGGGGCGAAGAGGTCGATGTGACGAATGCAGGGAGGAAGCGGGGGAGGCCGCATAAGAGGGAAGTCCATGCCCTTCCAGGTACGTTTTCCAACCTTCACCTCCATTTCCACCTTCAATTCAGCTTCTCTTCTTCTTTTCGTGTATCATGTTCACTGGACTGATCTTGACTTCTTCCTTTCCTCGTAACAGACGAACCCGAAGCCGACGAATCAGGCCTCCGACGTGGCACCCGCCGCCGCTACGCCCCCCTCGATTGGTGGCGACTCGAAAAAGTCGTCTACGGACGGCGCGACTCCGGCGTCACCCTCGTCCCCACCATCAAAGACATCATCCGTATCCCGAAAGAACCACCTCAGCCTCTCAGCAAGGCAGGACGTAAAAGAGGAGGCTCGACGAGGGCGAAGAGTAAGACGGCGGATGGCGGAGAGGTCGTTACGGTCTGGAATCCGGAGGAGGGTTGGGACGATGAGACGGAGCAGAATGGGATCGTGTTGGAGTGGGGGAGTGGGGTGCCGGTGCAGAGACGTGCGTTTTCTCTTCAATCTTTGTCTGCCTTCGATATGGATTTTGGATCTATGGGCGTGGCTGACTTTTACTTGATATTGAAGGCTTGGCGTATACTGCGACCATGATCAAGCCGAAGCCGGCACTGAACAACGATTTCTATTTCCAGAAGGTCTTTGGAGACGGAGAGTACATCGCTGCCGGACAGCTCATGATCCCTCCAGGAGGACACAAGCCCTCCAAGACCACGAAAGACAATACATACGTACGTCAATCTTCCTTGCCCACTCACCCTCTTCTCTTTCCATTTTCCTTTCTCCTGTTTGTTTGCCTCGTCTGTTTACTGATGGTCTCGCACCTGACTTTCCACAGGTTTTCTACATCATCGAAGGCGCCGTAAACTTCAAAGTGCACGACTCGTCCTACGTCCTCGCCACGGGCGGCATGATCCTCGTCCCGCGCGGGAACAACTATTACATCGAGAACATCTGCGAGCGCGACGCACGCTTGTTCTTCGCGCAGGCGAGGAAGGTCGCGGCAGAGGAGGGAGATACCGACAGGGCGGTTTCGGCGCCGATTAGTGTGAGCGGGCTGAGGGCGCGGTCGAAGTCGAATGAGGGAGAGAGGGAGGGTACGAGGGAGGCGGGAGGCGCAGGGGGGAAGAAGAAGAGGGCGGCTAGTAAGGTGTAGACGGGCGTTGGCAGTTTCGGTGTTGAGTATGCTCCCTTGTTCAAGTCCATGTTTGACGTGTCTCGGTTTTCGGCTGGATTACCTTCGAACTGGATACCCATGCAAGGACGATGTTGTGGTTGTAGGTTGTGGTATTTGATGGATTCCCCAGTGTAAACACATAAGCTCGGTCTCTTCAGGCTCTATGACTATGATAATGCGCTTGTATCTAGTTTGTTGCCCAGCCCCTTTTTAACTTTCTATTTCCTATCGTTGATATGTATAATCCTTCTCGTCAACCATGTGCTTGAGCACTGAGTGCATGCAAGTCAAGCGCGGCTCTTTTCGTGATGTCCCTGAACTGCTTTTGGATTGTCGTATTCTGGTTTTCTAGGCTGAGGAGCAAAAAAATGTATTCCGCTCTGTGACTTATTCAAACTCATGGGCCTGGCCGGGAATTGAACCCGGGACCTCCTCCAATTTGTACCGAAGCACCCTAAGAAGGAATCATACTACTAGACCACCAGGCCGATGCCAGACACTCAGTTTAATGCAGTATTATTTATGTTGAGATTCTCTATTGAACTACATAGCTTCCAGAATTAAAGGGCAGCTATCTGTGAAGACTTCATCAAGATTCAGAGGGGCATATAGGGTAAAGGCCGATAATTCTGGACTGTGGTGGGAAGCAAAGCATGAATCTTAACTGTGGCCCAAACCACACCTCCGACCCTGTTCACCGCCACACTCAAGATCAAGCTCAACCAGCCTACGAGTGCCCTCATCTTGCACCCAGAACCATCGACTCGGCAGACGTTTGTAGGTCATGTATCCTAGACAAATCCTAAAAAGTAATCGTAGCTGTGGTCGCATCTAGGATAAGTTGATTATAATTGAGGCTACGGGAGCTGTACTTACTGCATCACACCCACCGGCACAAGCTGGACAACGACAACGTGAATGGGCCGCTTCCTAGATGAAGGTGAGTCATGATAGTAAGCATGTCGGTAATACAGAGAAGGTGAGGGGCAGTGCAATAGGATGCCTGAGGTCAAGTTTCATTGGAAGAGTCGAAATTAATGACTTGCACTCGCAGGATAATGTGTGAGTGGTGTAGGGCTCCAAGTAGCGTGTATGTATAGTAGCTTTAAGGCCGGAGTCAGCGCACACGACATTGAACCCCCGAGTGCAAGCGAGATGACAATGCTTCCAGCAGGAAGACGCATGAACATGTCATGGCATTGTTGATGTGTTTTTGCTGATGTGACAGTGCCCAATGGCCTGCGCACAGAAATGAACAGCTGTGCCGGTAGTGGATATCTCCCCGGATCGGCCACCCCGGAGCCGCCCGTCAGCAAGTTGGCGGTGTAGTCCACCACAGTATCGTCAAGCTAAGAACTGGGGGAGCGCTACCTTCGGCAGCAGCAACCTTGCTGGGGAGGGGCCGTCGCGGGCCGTCCCGATATCTGCAGCACAGAATAATAAACCACACGAGTGGAAAAAGAGAGAGCAAAACTTAATATTATTTTCTGCTCTCCGACTCTGGTTATAGGCAAGTCATAGTAGCATAATAAGCAGCCACACAGACAACAAAAAACGAACACAGAGTAACAACCGAGAATGAATCTGGCTTCTTTGAGCCACGAACATTTGACAACACTAACCACGACCATACGACGGCAAGTCACCCTTACGCCACACGCGCCCGCTTCGACGACGAGCCCATGAAATCAGTGGCCCTCGCCGGAACACGCTTTCTCACCAGCTTCTCCGCCGCCAACTCCACGGGGGGCACGAGCACCCTGATCTTGACGACGAAGACATACGGTCCTTTGGAATTGTACTGAACATTGCCGAGATAACGGTAAGACTCTCCCAGAGCGGTGGCAGCATCGACGAGATCCAATCCTGCTTCAGATTGAGCACAATTCAAGGTAACATATGAGCAATAGACAATGAGGATTGTGGAGACTCATAAGACGACACGTACGTGGTAGAGGGCGTCCCCGTGCTCATGACAGCGGCGACTGGGTGAGCCTCCTCTCGAAAGCCCTCGGTGGCGACCTGAGTTACTTTGCTGCACTCCAGTCACGTCAGTGTGCGCCAAATCAATATATTCCACGGTAGAGCACACACCGTTCAGTGGTGTCGCATATCGCCACTGAGTTATTGGCGAGAATATCCATACTATCCTCGAGTATGCGACTCTGTTCTGCGGTTACATCTGTGGGCACTCCGATGTCAGTTGAAAGTGAAATATGTTACACGGGATAGACTCGCCTGGGGAGGACGGTGGGTCCACGAGCCCACTATCAGCAGATGGGGTGTTGTCTTTGTGCACTGTGACCGCAGGTATCAGATAATGCCAATCTAAAGTGAGATGAGATCTCATACCAGAGACGCCACCGACTACATCAGCTCCCATTGCCATCTCAGCAGCAGAATCAGAAGCCGGCAAATCTCCCTGGACCGACCGAGGGCACAATGTCAAGAATAGAACACAGTAAGGTATACACACAACTCACCTCAGCACGTACAGATGCAATGGCCGGTTCCATGACCTCAGACTCCGAACCCACTGTCAGAGGAGACAAAGAAACGTCCTCCTTTGTGCCAAGAGCCGGCTTCAGAAGACAATAAAATTAACCACCAGAGATACGATGTCATTGAGATCGGCAGAGCACAAACCTGGACGGGTAAAGAGGGTGCGGCACCTTGGGTGGCCCCAGAGCTTCGAGTGGTACGCATGATGGAGAAGGTGGGTTCAAAGTTGAATATAGAGGGGCAGAAGGAGTAAGAAACTTCTCCTTGAACCCCCCAGATGGACGCTTAATAGGGTCCACAATTACCGGCCAAAGAAAAAACCCTCTCGATGACTGTGGGCATCGCCCGACGAGCAGAGACAGGAGGCATCACAGGAGTCTGAAGAGGCCAGCAGTGGGTCCAGCGGGTGGACTCCGAAACATGTCCGCTAACACGAAACCGAAGGGGTAGTGCAAATGCGTGGGAGACACGCGATTGGACCACACTATCGCAGAGCTCCCTCTCGATATCGAAGAATACGAATAGTACGCGTTGGCCGCCGACACACAGAAAAGAAACGTGAACACAGGGACGCGCAAGATAAAAGGAGGACAGAGGCGTTGGCGCAAGCAGGGAAGGGACGTGCACACCAGCAACAGTGACATTGTGTTCATGCACGAATGGCCCAAATGTTGACTTTCAAGCCACGACACGACGTCATACTGGCTTATCAGTGTCGTGCAAGAGGCGACCATAGATCACGACAGAAAATAGAGGGAAGAAGCAAGCTAAAGGGGCCATATATGAAAGAGAATCGGGCCACAGCAGACAAACGAGAGGTGTAACGCCACTCGGACGGTTGTTTGTACATGTTTGTTTTTGGCAACGGATTTGCGAGGTTACCGGGGTGCGAAGGACCTTGAAGCAAGGTAACCAAGCACGTGACTGACACGGACGAACGGAGATGGCCGAAGGATGGGAAACGCGACCGCAGGACCCCTGCGTATGCTAACGGAGGTCCCATCCTGATGCGACGAATTTTGAGCGAAACATCGCGTTTCGTCCGATCCGTAGTGCGACGAAAACGGCTTTTCGATGCTGATGTTCCATCCCGCTATGCGACGAAAATGTCTCTCGGGGACGCAAAAAATGGGGTAAAAACTTGGCAAACACGGCCAAAAACATGATTTGGGGAAATTTTTTGACGACCAGGGTTTGGGAAGGCCTTATGCGGAGCGATGTTCCATCCGACGTGCGACGGAAATGGCCAAAAATCCGATGTCCCATCCCTGATGCGACGAAAACACCCCCAAAAGCGTGCGACGAAAAACGACC